GTCCCTACTCCTCTCAGTGGCAGGCAGCTATGGATGCAGAGATGGCTTCCTGGAAGTCCACAGGCACCTACGTTGACGCGGTTCCCCCTCCTGGGGCGAACATCGTCAGTGGCATGTGGATCTTCAGGGTGAAGCGGCCGCCGGGCTCTCCACCTGTCTTCAAGGCGCGGTACGTTGCTCGTGGCTTCAATCAGCGGCAGGGAGTTGACTACTTTCAGACCTTCTCTCCCACCCCGAAGATGACCACTCTTCGGGTGCTGCTGCACATAGCCGCTCAGCGCGACTACGAGCTTCACTCTCTCGACTTCAGCACTGCGTTCCTGCAGGGTAGCCTGCACGAGGAGATCTGGCTGCGCCGTCCACCTAGCTTCACTGGGACTTTCCCTCCTGGCACCCAGTGGAGCCTCCGACGGCCAGTCTACGGTCTCCGCCAGGCACCGCGTGAGTGGCACGACACACTGAGGACTACGCTGCGGCTCTTGGGTTTGCTCCTTCTACTGCTGACCCGTCGCTGTTTCTTCGCACCGACACTTCCCTGCCGCCGTTCTACATCCTCGTGTACGTCGACGACTTGGTCTTTGCCACAGCGGACACTGCTGGACTCGCCTACGTGAAGTCCGAGCTGCTGAAGAGACACACGTGCACAGACCTGGGTGAACTGCGCAGCTACCTTGGCTTGCAGATCACTCGGGACAGAGCACGCCGCACCATTACCTTGACTCAGTCACACATGGTGCAGCAGGTCCTTCAGCGCTTCGGCTTCACGTACTCCTCGCCTCAGGCCACTCCTCTGCCTACTCGCCACTCACTCTCAGCTCTGCCTTCGGATGAGTCCGTAGAGTCGAGTGGTCCGTATGCAGAGCTTGTTGGCTGCCTCATGTACCTGATGACCTGCACACGACCTGACCTTGCATACCCTCTGAGCATTCTTGCACGCTATGTTGCTCCTGGGAGACACCGACCAGAGCACATGGCTGCAGCGAAGAGGGTATTGCGCTACCTGTGCAGTACGTCGGGCATGGGGCTAGTGCTTGGAGGGCGGAGTCCAGTGGTCCTTACCGGCCACGCGGACGCTTCTTGGGCTGACGACCAGGCTACGCAGCGGTCGTCACAGGGTTACACCTTCAGCCTTGGTTCCGGCTCTGTCTCGTGGCGGTCTACTCGCTCGTCTTCGGTTCTCGGCTCCAGTTGTGAGGCTGAGATCTACGCCGGGGCCATGGCTGCACAGGAGCTTCGCTGGCTCACCTACCTGCTGACTGACCTTGGAGAGCCGCCTCGTTCTCCTCCAGTGCTGTACGTAGACAACAAGGCCATGCTGGCCTTGTGTCGAGAGCAGCGCTTGGAGCACAGAACGAAGCACATTGCTCTCCGCTACTTCCTTGCTCGTGAGCTGCAGCAGCGTGGTCAGTTGCGACTTGCGTACGTGGCCTCTGAGGCCAACACTGCTGATGTGTTCACCAAGGCACTTGCGCCTTGTGACCATCAGCGCTTTTGCACCCAGCTGGGTCTTGTGCCTGTCTTGCCTCACTTGCTCTCCTCTTGACTTCACTTGTACTGTGACATATATATATATACCTGCTCTTGCTTGTCTAGTTTTATATATATGTCTGTACTCCTGCATGTAAACTGGCCTCTGGCCCTCCTCTTGTGCTCGGACTGTGTGGTGACTTTGTGATCCACCCTGAGCTTGCTTTGCTTTGCTTGACTGGTCTTGTGACCCCTTGTTCTCCCCCACTTTGCCTATGGGGGTGTGTCAAACATTATATATGTTATGCTTATGTAGGCTACAGTGGGTTAGCCTATAGGGGGTACACAATTCTAGGGTTTCCTACTTGTACTCATTTCACTGCTAGTTCATTCATTCCTGTTTTCCTTGCTTCACAGGTGGAAAGGCATGCACGGGTAAATATCTCATTAACACGATTCATTTACGCTAAAAACAGTTAACAGCAAGAGGCGTATCAGCGTACCTACCGTCACTGGAACTTGAGGTTCAGTGCGTTGAGTTCCTTCAACACATCAGCCAAGAAAAACAGCATGAAATGGAATTTCAAACTGATTACAAGGAGGTACGCCTTCGGGTCGTTCTCGTACAACAGTATGACAGCAGCTGGAAGGTTGTCAGCCAGTTGCTGCACCGTCAGACCACGTGAAAGCCACCTGACGCTGTGGATGCCCTGCAACTCCAGGTTAGTTTCACACAGCACCTCCTGCAGCTCTTTGAAGCGTAGGTGGAAGTTGCCCGACCGTCCAAGGAGCTTCGCTAAGGAACGGACGACATGGTCGACGATGTCAAGGTCGGGGAAGGCCTCTGCTGCATCCTTTGCGGCCAAAGCTTCCCTGACACAACACGGAAAAGCAACAAGCTAGATACATATGCAACGATTAAAAGGTAAGCATAACATCACAGGGTTACAAACCTGTGCGCGATGCAGTGGAACCCTGCGAGGTGTGGAATCCGCCCACGAAGGCGTGCCACCAGGCCCGTCTGATAACCGACCATGACGCTTGCACCGTCAGTGCTGATGCCACTGATGCGCTCAAGGTTGAGGCCGGTAGACTCCAGGTGGGCTAGAAGGACTGCCTGCAGGGAACCAGCATCGCACTGCTCAATTATTAGCTGCGCGAAAAATTCAGTGACGGGAGTGTTGCTGCGGAGGAACGACAAGTAGACTATTAGGTGCTTCCCGCGCCGACGGTCCGTGCTCTCGTCCAATTGAATGCCTAGGTAAGGACTATCTCGGATGTGCTTCATCTATTGAGCACGGAGGTAGATGACAAGCGTCTCAACCAACTGCGCAAATCCGTACCTGTAACGACCAGTGACAAGGTAATTAGTACCGTGGTTTTCAACGAAACCCTAAACCCGCAAAAAAAAAAAAAACACATACTCGCTGTAGTAGGTGCCGGAATCCTTCAGGGGCATGTCGAGCGTGCCCATCTCTGCCATGAACTGGACCAGAGTCACAAACAACACAATGGGTGAGTCGCTTCTGCAAATAAAAATAACTGTTGCCAGGAGTTTTGTCAAACGCTTGGCTTCCTCGTCACCATTCTCGAAGTCGACAATCGACTTCTGAGCAGCATTCTTGCCGTCACGTAGCTGTTGGCGGTCCATTGACGCCTCATGCTTGATGGAATGCTGATGTTTCCGCATCGTCTGTCGTTGAATGTCCACCCCACCCTCTCCATTGCGGCCGTACTGGTAGCTGGGTCTCAGAATCCCAACCACTAGACCATTGGGATAAAAGGGCTTGTTTCAGTAGCGGGTCAGTGCGCCCATAACCCCCCAGGCAAATGTGCCTGTAACCCTTCCCTAGGATCGATCGGGGATCACCAGTGGACCTCTGACACCCCCCCGCACTGGGATGCCCGAAGTGCATACACCGGGATTCGAACCCGAGACCTTCGCTCTGATACCATCTCAGAATCCCAACCACTAGACCATTGGGATAAAAGGGCTTGTTTCAGTAGCGGGTCAGTGCGCCCATAACCCCCCAGGCAAATGTGCCTGTAACCCTTCCCTAGGATCGATCGGGGATCACCAGTGGACCTCTGACACTGGGGTCTCCGTGCACCATGCAGATTGAACACCTCATGCAAGGTTGACCCCATGAAGTCTCCGAGATGATGAGCCACGGGAAGTGCTTTCGCCATTTCTCGTTAGCCTTCTGCTGCCACTGCTCGACGGTCAAGGCGCGCGGATACTTGTCGTCGTCGTTGGCGTCGACGGGTTGTGACGGGCCCGGGCGAGTTGTGCTAAAGCGGGGGACGGTTGCTGGCGGGACACCTGCAGTGGGACGGGCAAAGCTCAGAATTCGCTGTTTGTATTTGCCGTTTCGTGCTCTAATGCGAGAAACAGAAATCGCCGGTAGAGTTGTGGCCACAGATGCCGAAACGGGCGGCGGCGAAGACTCAGCTTCAGCCGGGTTAGGCTGGGTCGCAGTCTCAGTAGCGTCTGACGTAGATTGCGAGGGGATAAGCGGCTCGTCGTTGCAGGATGTGATGACGTTGGGGGAAGGAATTACAGGCGGAGGCGTCTCGACTGCGGCAGTGGTGGTCACAGGAATTGCTGCCGGAGCTTTACGGGTTAGGAAATCTGACGCAGAAACCCGTGGCTCGTCAAGTACCCCGGGTGGATCACGCCTAGCGCTGTCGGTTGACTCGAGGGCGCCAAATAGCATGGTGTGAGGTGGTGTATCACCTCACATGAGGCAGTAGCAAGAAAGGAATTCTAGACGGTACGCGGGAACAAGCTACGGGACGATAGGTATGCTTCGGGCTAGGCGTCAAAGATTGAAATGTGAAGGCAGGTTGTCAAAGAAAGGCTTGGAGAAGATAGGAAGGGAAAGGACCATCACCTCACGAACCGCGCCGCGCCTCTCTCACGAGGGTTTCACGAAGGTGTGTGCATGCTTTGTTTTGATGTGCACCGACTGTCCTTGCACTCTGCCAGCGAGGTGAGGGGCGACAGCCTGGCAGCGGCGCCGACAACAGCTACCCGACAGATGCGTGGCAGCAACTGAGTCAGATGCAGAATGCGCTGGCAGGAAGAATCCGAAATTCACCCCCGTGCCCTCACGCAAAAATCATTACGCGTGCCTTCACATGCAACACCTCGCTGCTCCTCTGGCCAACTGGGCCATTTTGTCTCAGACAAAATAATACGCGATTTCTGCTGGATCAGATGAATTGCTATAATTTTCCTGAAAAAACATATGACGCTATAGCATTTGTCTTGGCTCTCATATTGCCCATAAGCTAAAGTCTGCCACAGCATATGAACGATACATTTCGCGCCTGAAACCTAGACCAACAGACTAAATTAGTCTGCTAACGAGAGCCCTGCTCATGAGGCAATGTGATGCAACCAACACAACTCATGAGCGTGCTGGGCGGAGCTTGGGCTTGAAAGCGGCGGGGTGTGACGGATAAGGCAACGCGCTGCAGGGCGATGAGAAGCTGTAAGAATTAACCAAAGAGAAGCGTTGAGAATGAACTCAAGAGCGAGCTGGTCTGAGCTTGGGCGTGAAGGTGATGGGTGAGACGGAAAAAGCAACGCGCTGCGAAGCGAAGGTGACCATTCGCCTCTCGAGGTCCGTGAGAGGGCGCTCTATCACCCTCTCCCTCACCGCATCCTGCTCAAAAGACACAGGGAGAGTGGCAGACAAGGAGGTGAAGAGACAGGGAGCCAGGAGACCGGGTGAAGAGAGGAAGACAGGGAGAGAGGCAGACGAAGGGACAGTCAAGCGCATGTGAGCAACGTGGGTGATTGTGGAGGTGACCATTCACAGTCAGACTTGTCGGCAGAGCAGTCTCACATTGGTGTGGCAAGCCAGGGACCCCACGTGCAGCACGTTGTTGGTGTTGCCCCACTCGTCCACCTCCGTGGGCAGATCTCCTTCACATGCTCCTCAGCCGTAAGCACAGACTTACATTGGTGTGGCAAGCCAGGGACCCCACGTGCAGCACGTTGTTGGTGTTGGCCCACTCGTCCACCTCCGTGGGCAGATCTCCTTCACATGCTCCTCAGCCGTAAGCACAGACTTACATTGTTGTGTCGAGCCAGCGACCCCACGTGCAGCATGTTGTTGGTGTTGGCCCAGTCGTCCACCTCCGTGGGCAGATCTCCTTCACATGCTCCTCAGCCAGAATTGTGTGCAAACACGTGTGTACAGAGAGACACGTGGGCGCTCAGACTCATGTTGGTGTGCGGGGCCAGCGGTCCCACGTGCAACACGTTGTTGGTGTTGTGACACCCACCTGAAGCACCACCGACTTTCATTTGTGTGCCGGGCTAGGGCCCCCCCCGTTCAGCACGTTGTTGGTGTTGCCCCACTTGAGATGTGTGGAGGAGCATACAATTGGTGTTGTGTGGGCATTTTTGAGGCGCCTCAAAAGTGTTGTGTGAGCATACAGATACACGTAAGCACAGACTTACATTGTTGTGGCGAGCCAGCGACCCCACGTGCAGCACGTTGTTGGTGTTGCCCCACTCGTCCACCTCCGTGGGCAGGTCCGCTGCATGGCGCCAGTGCCCGTCCACTATGAACTTGTAGCGGTAGCTACAAGAGGGGGGGAGGGAGGTATGAGAGTCGGGCAGAGAGTGCGAAAAAGAGTGCGGGCACATGAAAGAAGCGCAAATCAAGAGAGGGAGTGGAGGAAGCAGGTCTGCTGCATGGCGCCAGTGCCCGTCCACTATGAACTCGTAGCAATAACTGCACCAGGAGAGGAAGTGAGAAGAAGGTGAGAGGAAGGTGATGCACAAAGGAGTGCCGTGCAGAGAGAGAGAGAGAGAGAGAGAGAGAGAGAGAGAGAGAGAGAGAGAGAGAGAGAGAGAGAGAGAGAGAGAGAGAGAGAGAGAGAGTGAGAGGAAGCAGGTCTGCTGCTGCATGCTGCCAGTGCCGAGGGGCAGTGTGAGCGAGAGAAGAGAATAGACTTTGAGCAGGTGACTGACTGGTAAAAGGCAGACCTTTCGGCACCACACAGGCGTGGCGGAAGAGGAGAGAGAGAAGCAGAGACTCACGATCCGAGGGGCAGCCTGAGCGCGAGAACAAACTTGGAACCCCCAACTGGAGTGGCCGCCACTGGGTTTTTCCACCCGCCCGAGAGCTCCCCCACCAGAAGCACCTGCATGCGGGATGGGTGGAACGGAAGGGAATTTAGTGGAAATTACATCGGTGTGAGATGGGGCCCACTCCCTCCTCACGTCGAGCTCTCGTAATTCACTGTGATTTGTGCCAAGTGAGTGGCAGGGAAGTCGGTGGAAACCACATTCTATGGTAACCACACTCTATGGTAACCACATTCTCTGGTAACCACATTCTATGGTAACCACATTCTATGGTAACCACATTCTCTGGTAACCACATTCTCTGGTAACCACATTCTCTGGTAACCACATTCTCTGGTAACCACATTCTCTGGTAACCACATTCTCTGGCCAACACATTCCAGCAACCATACACTACACAAGACGGCTTCGCACCCCCATGATTCCATGCGATCTGCGCCGAGTGAGTGGTGGGGCAGTCTGTGGTAACCACATTCTCTGGTGGTAACCACTAACCACCCTCTCTGGTAACCGTACATTGACAAGCTGCACTCACCTCGCGCCCCCCATGGTTCCATGCGATCTGCACCGAATGAGTGGCAGGCCCTGTGTGCCTCACCCCACGCCGCAGCATGGCCACCAAATCCCATGTTGCTGCTGCCAGTGCCGCCCTGAGATGGGAGGGTGGATGGAATGGGAGAGGGGGAGGGCGGAGAGTGGGGTGGGTGGGTGGTAGGCCCTGTGTGCCTCACCCCACGCCGCAGCATGGCCACCAAATCCCATGTTGCTGCTGCCAGTGCCGCCCTGAAATTAAGATAAGATGGAAGGGACGTGTGGGAGGATGGGTGGGACGATGGAATGGGAGGGACGGGAGGGGTTGAGTAGGGAGAGGGAAGAGGGCAAGGAGAAGTCGTGGCCACCAGATCCCATCCCATGTCGCTGCTGTCAGTGCCGCCCTGAGAATGGGTGGGAGGATGGGTGGGAGGATGGGTGGGAGGATCGGTGGGCGAATGGGATGGGCTGTCTGCCACCAGCAAATGCAGCCAACACTGCTCAGCTCACAGAACCGCACTGAACTGCACTGAGCCACAAAAAATCACACTGAACCATACTAAACAGCTCACCGGTTGGGTTGGCAGGGGCGGACGTCGCAGACAAAGTGAAGAGCCTATGGCAACGGAATGGTAAGCACCCAGTGCAGATACGCACACCCCACTGCGGGCGCCCTGTCCACCCCATTTGTGTCCGTCACCAACACATGCAGCCACCACAGCTTAACTCCCAGAACCGCACTGCACCGCACTAAAACGCGCAGAACCACACTGAACCACACTTTATTACGCAGAACCGCACTGAACCGTACTAAACTGCACAAACCCGTGGCTCACCGGTTGGGCTGGCAGGGGCGGACGTCACACACGAAGTGAAGAGCCTGGGGCAAGGGGATGGCGAGCACCCAGTGCAGATACGCGCACACCACTGCTGGCGCCCTGTCCACCCCATCTGTGTCCGTCACCAGCACATGCAGGCCCCGGCGCAGCAGGCGGTGCAGAATCCCCACTGCCACTGGGAGCTTCCGCCTCAAGTCATGCCCGTCGTGGTGCCTGGGGGTGGGGAGAGGGACAAGGTAGGGTGAGGAAAGGGGCGAAAGCAGCTCACCTGATGGGGTGGTGCACCACCATCACCCCCACATCCCCTGCCCCATAGACCCTGGTCCACACCCATCCACATCACACGCCCTCCTCATGCAGTAACGCCCCAGATCCATCAGCACCGCAAGCAAAAGCAGCTGACCTGATTGGGTGGTGCACCACCATCACCCCAGCGTCTCTTGCCGCCCGGTTCATGCCATCCACGTCCACCGCCCAGTTGAGCTTCTCTGTGGCTCGCTGCAGGTCCAACACTGCTGTCGTGCCCTGCGGTGCAAAGAGTTAGAGTGGGAGGGACAGAGATTGGAAAGGGTGGAGGGCGGTGGGGAGAGTGGGGGAGGAACAGCCTATGTGTGCCATCCACGTCCACCGCCCAGTTGAGCTTCTCTGTGGCTCGCTGCAGGTCCAACACTGTTGTCGTGCCCTGATGTGGGATGGTGGAGGGAGAAAGGGAGGGAGGGGTCATGAAGACCATGTGAGGGGAGGACGAGGCTATGTGTGCCATCCACGTCCACCGCCCAGTTGAGCTTCTCTGTGGCTCGCTGCAGGTCCAACACTGCTGTCGTGGCCTGATGTGGGATATGAGCGAGGGGGTTTGAAGGGGTTGGGTAGGGACAACATAGCTGCAGCATCTACATCGAGTTTCAACAGGACGAGGAACCAAGCTGTGCCTATGGGAGAGGAAAGGCCAGCAGGCATACAAGAGGGGAAAGTGACTATATAGAAGGATTTTTGATCTGATTTTTACTCTTTTCCTAGCCAAAAGCCAACTTCTTGTGCAGAAGCAAGTGGGACCAATGGAAGAGGAAGGAGCAGCAAATCACAGGGGAGGATAGGGTAGTGACTGTGAGACGGGGGAGAAATGTCAGAACACAGCCCAGCCAGAGGAGGAGGGGTGCATACATGAGGGAGAGGGGCAAAATGAGAGACGGGCGAGGTGAGGGGCGCATAGAAAGAGTGGGAAAGGGTGTATAGAGCGAGAGGGGAAAAGAGTGGGGAAAAGAGTGGGGAAAAGAGTGGGGAAAAGAGAGGGGAGGACGGACCAGCCTTTGGTGCGCGGAGGTGATGTCTTCTGGGCACAGCAGTGCTGCTCCGAACGACAGATGCTCTGATACCTGTGGGAGGCGAGGTTGGTGAGTGGCAGACACAGCAGAAGGGGAGAGCGACGTGAGATGAGTGAAGGGAGTTTGAGGCTGGGCGGGAGGCGATGTCTTCCGGGCACAGCAGTGCCGCTCCGAACGACAGATGCTCTGATACCTGGCAAGGTGAAGTCACGGAAAGACAAATTGATTGGTATGAAGGTTAAACAGAGGGGAGAAGAAAGGAAGGCGATGGAGCTAGCTAGAGGCATAGGGTGCAATGTCTTCTGGGCACAGGATTGCTGCTCCGAAGGCCAAACGCTGCTCCGAAGGCCAAACGCTGCTCCGAAGGCCAAACGCTGCTCCGAAGGCCAAACGCTGCTCCGAAGGCCAAACGCTGCTCCGAAGGCCAAACGCTGCTCCGAAGGCCAAACGCTGCTCCGAAGGCCAAACGCTGCTCCGAAGGCCAAACGTGCTGCTCCGAAGGCCAAATGCTGCTCCGAAGGCCAAATGCTGCTCCGAAGGCCAAATGCTGCTCCGAAGGCCAAATGCTGCTCCGAAGGCCAAATGCTGCTCCGAAGGCCAAATGCTGCTCCGAAGGCCAAATGCTGCTCCGAAGGCCAAATGCTGCTCCGAAGGCCAAATGCTGCTCCGAAGGCCAAATGCTGCTCCGAAGGCCAAATGCTGCTCCGAAGGCCAAATGCTGCTCCGAAGGCCAAATGCTGCTCCGAAGGCCAAATGCTCAGGTACAAACCACACACCATTCTCCCTCACCTGTGTGTGAGTGGGTGAATGCAGTGCTAAAACCTCGAGGCCCCCACGCCTCTTGTATATGCCTCCACACATTCATCCACTCGCCCCACCCCAAGCCCCCAAAAGCTGTGCTCAAGTCGCACCATACATACACCACACACCACACGCACCATACATACACCACACACCACACGCACCATAAATACACCACACACCACACGCACCATACATACACCACACACCACACGCACCATACATACACCACACACCACACGCACCATGCACACCACACGCACCACACACACCACACACACCATTCTCCCTCACCTGTGAGTGAGTTGGCGAGTGAAGCGGCTCGAATCTCGAATCACCCACGCCTCTTGTATACGCCTCCACAAATTCATCCACCCGCCCCACCCCAAGCCCCCACCACTTCCCCTCCCCCTCCACTCCCCCGTCCTTCCCAGAGGAAGCATCCCAGAAACCGCGCTCTGGCCACTGCCAATCCGCATCCTTCCTCCCCTGCTGCCTCCCCTCCTCAAACCACTCTTCCCTCTCACCCTCCCCCACCTCGCCTCCCTCCCTTTCGCCCCTATCGCCCCTCACTCCCATACCCTCCTCGTCGCCTTCTCTGCCCTCCTCTCCCTTCGACACTCTCATTGCCGCTGCAAGAGCGGCTGCTGCCTCTGCTGCTTGCGCCCACTCCGCCCCATCCTCCTCCTCATCCTCTCCTCTCCTCTCTTCCTCCTCTCCTCCCCTCCCTTCAGTAACCCCCTTTCTCTGCAGATCCTTATCCCTCTGCTCCATCTTCTCTTGACTAGCTTCTTGAGCCGCATCCCCTGTAACTGAGCTCACACCTTCCCCAGCTCCACCTGCCCCAGCCCCACCCTTTAAGCTCGCTTCCCTGCCAGCCCCCCCCTCTTCTACCAGACCCTCTCCCCCCGAAACCATTTCCTCAATTTCGGTCAGACCCTGAGTTTCAGAGGCTTGGCTTTCAGAGGCTTGGCCTTCAGCCACTCGACTTTCCGAACCTTGACCCGAACCTGTCGTGTTCTGCTCACCAGACCTCTCGTCAGCTCCGGAATCCGGACCTGAGTCCGAGCCAGACACAAGCTTCCCCTCAAAGAATGGAAATAGGACCCACTCTGGCTCCGCCTGTGCTTGCTCCACCCGTTCCTTCCCCTCTCCTCCCTCTCCTTTCGCCCTCCCTGTCTTCCTTTTCTTACCCCATAAAGTGCCTCCTAGTATCGCCCTCACACCCCTCCCCCCCGCCTTCTGTGCCTCCCCACCCTTCAAACCTTCTTCCTCTCCCATCCCCACATCCACCCTTTTCTCCCCTTCTCCATCTCCCATGCTCACTTCCCCGTGTACACTCTTCTTCTCCTTTTCATCCAACGCCTCATTCATCTTTCCCCTTCCTTCTGGAACGCCCACCCCCTCCACCTTCCCCCGGTCTTCCAACTTTCCCCCACCCTCCACCTCCCCTCCACCCTCCACCTCCCCTCCACCCTCCACCTCCCCCCCACCCTCCACCTGCCCCCCATCCCCCACCTTCCCCCCATCCTCCTGACGCCCCTCCCCTTCCCTCGCTACCCTTACCTCTGCCTCTCTAACATGCTGGATCACTACAGACTTGTTCACACCTAAAGCTGTCTCATTCCCCAGCTCTCCCTCTCCTCTTGCTGCTACCACCATCCCCACTGTTTCACCCACATTCTCCCTCTGTCCACCACCCCTCACCTCTCTTCTCACTTCTCCCTTCTCCTTTAATTCACCCCTCTCCTCGCTCTCAACATCAGTGCCACCACCACCATCACTAATGCCATATTCTTGCTCTTGACTTTGCCCCGATCCACCCTTTCCCTCCTCTCCCGTCCTCCCCTCACTCCCCTCCCTCGTCCCTTCCTCCACCCTACCCTCCCCCCTTCCCTGTCCCCCACCCCACTCCCTCCTCTCTCTCCTCTTCTCCCCATGTGGCCTTAACTCAGAAAACGACACAAGTCCCACCCGCCCAGCTCCCCCCCTCATGAACAGTGTCCGTGCTGACATGGCACTGCTGGCACTGTAGCGCGGCCAGCTGGACGGGTGGTGCCACGTGGCAGCTGCTGAGCGGCCGGGATTGTCGGAGCGGAGAGGGTGCGAGAGAATAATGCGTTGGGTGGTGGGGGCGTGAAGGGCTCTCTCTAACACGAACGTGCACGGACCCTTACCCTCCTCGATTGCACTTCTGCAAAGTGTTGAGATTGGGGGGACAAAGGGGACGAGTTTGAACCAAATGAGAGGATGATGCGTTGGGTGGTGGGGGCGTGAAGGGCTCGCTCTAACACGAACGTGCATGGGCCCTTGCCTTCCTCGATTGCGGTTCTGTAGGGAATGAGGGATGAAGGTCACACATACGTGCATTGAGGATTGAGAGATGGAGGACATACATGCACACTTAAACACATACACGAGGGATCTAGAAGCACATACTCCTTATGTATGTTCACACACACATTCCTGAGCGAGCGATTGAGTTGAATGTCAATGACTCGAGTGAGTGGTGAGGCCTGAGCCACTGACACCTGCCTCTCCATACCTCTTGAGACGTCTCAAAGGTGACTTACACGAGCGATAAAAGGTCACTGAATCGTGCGAGCGGCATCATACATACACGAGGGATTGAAGATCAACGACTCGTGTAAGCGGCGTGCCTTGAGCAACCGACACCTGTCGCAACACATCCCCCACCATCACCATCTGCCCGCGCTCCGCGTTCCCCTGATACAATCACATTCGCCTCGATGAAAATGGTCAGATCATATTAATAACCTTTTACAGTAACACAGTTAAGCGAACGTTTGCCCTGCACTTCCTGCCAAAACATTATCCCCAGCGTGGTTATTCCCTTTCCCTATACGTACCTTCTCCTGCAGTGCTTCGACATAAACTGCTCCGCTATCCGTCTGGGAGAACCAGATCCCCAGCGGCTTCTCTATAGTCACCATGTACTCGTTCAGGTTGAACTTGTATCGCCCGTCCCTCGCTGCAGTCACACCCCCGCCCTCGCTCTCCCCCTCGCGAGCCCACCCATGCCGCCGTGTCTCCATCAGCTGCCACGTGTCCCCTAGTTGAGTCTGGTTCCCGCCAATGAACTTCCATCGTGGTCGAATCCCCTTGGGAATACCGTTTCCAAGGGAGAGGGCTTCAAGAGGTTCCCGTTTGAAAACAGACGTTGAGAGGGGGGTTACCACACAAAGCCGTGCTACCGACGTGACATCACAAATCAAACATTTCGAATTCCCTCTCGAATTCGATACTCGCGACGGCCCTGTTGGCTGCAGTATAACAGGTTTCGAGCCTCCAGAAAACACTATAGCGCGACTGGATGCCAAGGATAAACTGGATGAAGAAGTGACAGAACGCGGAATTGCTATAAGCGGACGTGCTTGTAACGAATTACAACTCGACCGGAGGTTATCGACAATAGACCCGCAGGCAGGAGTCACGAGAGAGGCCGCCATGCGTTTCACTGATATCGACCCTGTTCTTCTCGGCTCATATTAGGAAGGCAGCAGTGTATGAAAAATAATCTTAAAAGGCGCCCAACAAACGGCCATGAGCTTGCTTCACTGATATCGACCCTGTCCCATACCCGATATAGTCAGTGAACGCTCTGCTACGACCAATTAGTTAGTGATCAGGGAACTGTGCTACAGTGTAGCACGTGTCGCAAACGTGAAGAACTGAATTTAAAGAAGGCTGCGCGTTAACAGCTCGAAAGATGTGTAGGAAAGTTTTGCGGGAATATCTACTCACCTAAATCATCCCCTACAGTCTCAGCAACAACATTACCCTTTAGTCTAGCTGTAAACTAGTTAATCCAGCCGCCTGTTCTTCTGGCAAAGTTTTCCTATTAGATCGAATGTGGAACAAAGCCCTAAGTTGTCTCTGACATTCCTTCCGTCGTTCCCAAGAGCGTGTGACATGTCAGAGTAGGCCAAGTTCCCTGGGAACGGAATGTGCAAGAGGATGACGACGTGCGAATGGCTGCACGAAGCGTTCCGAAACCTTCGAAATCATCACTATCCGTGTCACAGCTCTCGACTCATACCGAGACGATAAATCTAGAAACCGAACCGAACCGAACAGTAGTCGCTTCTGTAACACCTCGTGTATCTTCACGCGTAATCCTCGTTTTGACTTCACGCGACTAAGTTTCACATTTTCGTGATTAACGGCTAATGTTAAAAAAGTTGCTCTCCACCTTTCAGATCTCACACGTAAAGCTGGAAAATCATGCCCCTCTTACAATGCTCTGTTACAAGATGAGTTACGTGGAGAGAAACTTCGTGAAGGCTTCAACGAAACATCTCATTTGTCCTTGAAGCATTTTAGACAACGACAGCCACATTCTCCCCTACTTCATCTCGAGCGGCAGAATCACTGCTTGTAATCAGTTGTCAGTTGGAACAATCACCTGACCACGTGTTATCTGCCAGCCCCTTCCTTCTTCTCCACTGACTCCTCTCCCTGCTCCACCCCTGCTGCTGGTTGCGGGGCCACCTCCCCATCTGCAGCAGCAGAAGTGCCAGCTGCAGATGTGCTTGCAGGGGCAACAGCAGCAGCAGCAGGAGCAGCAGCACTGGAGGAAGGTTCATCAGCAGCAGCAATAGCAGATGGCACAGGGGTGGTGTCTTCAATAGCTTCCAGGAAAGATACCACTCCGTACCCATCTGCAAAGAGATAAATTTATGCAAGAAAATGTTGTTTCTTCTGAGTATATTCGCTTGAGCCGATGCCCTGTGCATGAAAGAGAAAGACAAGAATCGCACTCCTTTAAATCCATGCCAAACGATCAAATGAGGCTGTGAAAGAACTTCGGGTCATGCGCAAATCGCGGATGCCCGGAACAGTGCTCATGACCCGAACCCAGAGATACGCCCTGAGGCTGTGAAAGAACTTACACTTGTTTACATCAATGCCAAACTGCGAGAGGTCGATCTTTCCTGCAAGCAACACCTGGCAATGAAAGTTGAGGCAATGAAAGCAACGAGAGCAATGAGAGAGAGAGTAGAGGAATGAGAGCAGCAAGAGCAACGAGAGCAAATGGCTAGTGGGAAATGTACAGAAAAATGCGTGTGTTTGTGTGTGTGCGTGTGTGTGTGTGTGTGTGTGTGCGCGCGCGCGCGAGTGCCTGTGGCACTAGAAAAGAGAGGAGGCAGAGGACGCTCTGGAAAGAAGCACTGCTGACCTCGGAAAATGCGTCCAGCTGCTGCTGAAACTGCGGGCTCAGCACGAGCTGCCGCATGTCTTCTGGTTTCCTCAGCTCCTGCCCATCAGGGGAAAAGCAAAAGGGGAGAGCTCAGTTTTGAGGTTTGGAGGTGCCTTTTGGATTGCCATTTGGGTCCCTCATCACAGGGAGAAGTGTTTTGAGACGTCTCAAAACACTTCTTCAAACACGTGGTTTGGAGGTGCCTTTTGGATTGCCATTTGGGTCCCTCATCACAGGGAGAACACTTTTGAGTCGACTCAAAAGTCACCTTTTGGATTGCCATTTGGGTCCCTCATCACAGGGAGAAAGGGATCTTTGAGCTAAACAAGAAAAGGAATTGGTCCATGGAAGCACGGAATCACGATTATTGAAAGAGAAACCGTTGGATGGCGATGAGGCGATACGTACGAGACGCAAGAGAGCAAGAGGGCATGTAGCAGAAAGAGGGCTCTGTCGGTTCTTACATGCTACAGTGCACATGAGACTCCTTATTCAAGAATAAGGAGCGGATCTCCTCAATAGAGAACAACGAGGGGTTCTTAGACGTCTCAAATCAGAGTAGAAAGAGACACGCACAGGGGGGAGAAACCCAGCCAGTCTCTGCTGCACTGTGCCATCGCTGAAAGTGCTCATCATGACCTCAGGCTTGAAAAAGGGGTTACGAGATGTTTCTAACCCAAACCACAGAGCAGGGAGGGTACTTACAGGCGGGAGGAACTGAGCCAGTCTCTGCTGCACAGTGCCATCGCTGAGGGTGCTCATCATGACTTCAGGCTTGAGAATGTCCGTTAGCTTCATGCTCCTTGCTCTCACTGCGCATAAACACGAGGGGATGAGCCAGAAGGGCACAGCGCACGGGTGTGGACAGGGGGAAGGACTTTGTGACACAGTGCCATCGCTGAGGGTGCTCATCATGACCTTAGGCTTGAGAATTTCCGTCAGCTTCATGCTCCTTGCTCTAACTGCATGCACACACGAAGGGATGCACACACAATGGCATCGCTGAGAGTGCCCGTGAAGACTTCACGCATCAGAAAAAGTCGCCCATCCTCACAATCCTTGCTTTCACGGCGCGCAGTTTCAAGAAGGGCAGGGCCAGTCGAACGTGCACACCCAGTGCCCGACATCATCGGCCAATTTTTTTTTTCCTTGCCCCTGCACCTTGCTACTTACTGCGAGCCACCACCTTCGAAAGCCGCCAACATTTTACAATTGATCCATCATCCATAATTACTCTAGCATCAAATTCTTTGTCTAAATCTTTTGATCTCATTTTTTGTTTAAAGCAAAAGGCTAATTCCATTTTCTTATGAGATCAGAAAAAATAGATGAAGAATTAGATGCTGAAGTAATCATAGTTGATGGATTATCAAGCTCAGTTGTGAAATGTTAAGTTCGACAGCTTTCGAAGATGGTGACTCGCACTAAATAGCAGGGTGCAGGAGCGAGGAAAGATAACTTCGGTTGATGATGTCATCGGGCACTGGACGTGCACGTCCGACGGGCATGCATTCCACTCACAGTGTGGCGGCACGTGTATTTGCCCCAGACCCGCCGGAATGCTCTGCAGCTGCCCCAATCGCATGCACCAGCTGCCGTAGATGTACCAGGCGCCAGAAGGAGAATTGAGACAGGAAAGGGTTTGTCATTCCACTCACGGTGTGGCGGCACTTGTATTTGGCCCAGACACACCAGAATGCTCTGTAGCTGCCCCAATTGCATGCACCAGCTGCCCTAGATGTACCAGGCGCCAGAAGGAGGATTGAGACAGGAAAGGGTTTGTCATTCCACTCACAGTGTTGCGGCACTTGTATTTGGCCCAGCCACACCAGAATGCTCTGTAGCTGCCCCAATCGCACCAGCAGCCAGCTGCCCTGGATGTACCAGGCTACCAAGGCACTTGCGCCAGAAGGAGGGTTGAGAGAGGAAAGGGTTTGTCATTCCACTCACAGTGTTGCGGCACTTGTATTTGGCCCAGACACACCAGAATGCTCTGTAGCTGCCCCAATCGCACCAGCAGCCAGCTGCCCTGGATGTACCAGGCCAGGCTACCAAGGCACTTGCGCCAGAAGGAGGGTTGAGAGAGGAAAGGGTTTGTCATTCCACTCACAGTGTTGCGGCACTTGTATTTGGCCCAGACACACCAGAATGCTCTGTAGCTGCCCCAATCGCACCAGCAGCCAGCTGCCCTGGATGTACCAGGCTACCAAGGCACTTGCGCCAGAAGGAGGGTTGAGAGAGGAAAGGGTTTGTCATTCCACTCACAGTGTTGCGGCACTTGTATTTGGCCCAGACACACCAGAATGCTCTGTAGCTGCCCCAATCGCACCAGCAGCCAGCTGCCCTGGATGTACCAGGCTACCAAGGCACTTGCGCCAGAAGGAGGGTTGAGAGAGGAAAGGGTTTGTCATTCCACTCACAGTGTTGCGGCACTTGTATTTGGCCCAGACACACCAGAATGCTCTGTAGCTGCCCCAATCGCACCAGCAGCCAGCTGCCCTGGATGTACCAGGCTACCAAGGCACTTGCGCCAGAAGGAGGGTTGAGACAGGAAAGGGTTTGTCATTCCACTCACAGTGTTGCGGCACTTGTATTTGACCCAGACCAGCCAGAATGCTCTGCAGCTGCGCCAACTGCACCGGCCCCGCTACTCTCCCACCACCACCAGCAGCAGCAGGAGCAACACCAGGAGCACCAAGAGCAGCGGCAGCACCACGAGAAGCATCAACGCCAGCAGCGCCAGCAGCACCAGTTGCAGCAGCACTGCCTCTCAGGTCGCCAAGACCGGACGACCCTTGCGGGCCTGCCGGCACGGCGCCACTGCTGCCGGCTGGTCTGTAAGGCAGGGCAAGAGAGGGAAGAGAGGAAACAGGAAAGAAGTGATAATCATGTTGATTCTCCATGAAAAAGAACGCCAACTGTGGGTCCGGCGGCACGGCGCGCCACGCCACTGCTGCGGGCTGGCCTGTGGGGCAAGGCCAGGCCAGGGATGATAGTTCACGAAGTGATGGTTCTGGTCGCTTTCTGCAGGTAAAACAAGCAACCTCGTCAACCCGCATATGCGCCTCCCCCAGATGGCCCTCCCTAGCCCCATCCCCCCCCCCACATCCAATGGAAGAAGCTCCCTCCTAACTACCTGCGTTGCTGTGCTGCTGTAGGTGCCTCATAAGATGTTTGCTGTCCCCATCATCATGCATGTCTACCTCCCCCAGATGACCCTCTCCTCCCCCAGATGACCCTCTCCTCCCCCAGATGACCCTCTCCTTCCCCAGATGACCCTCTCCCCCCCCAAATGACCCTCTCATCCCCCAGATGACCCTCTCCCCCCCCAGATGACCCTCTCCCCCCCCAAATGACCCTCTCCTGCCCCAGATGACCCTCTCCCCCCCCAGATGACCCTCTTCTCCCCCAGATGACCCTCTCCTCCCCCTGATGACCCTCTCCCCCCTCAGATGACCCTCTCCTCCCCCAGATGACCCTCCCCCCCCCCAAATGACCCTCTCCTCCCCCAGATGACCCTCTCCCCCCCCAGATGACCCTCTCCCCCCCCAGATGACCCTCTCCTCTGTGAAGATTGTGAATTGAACAAGTAAGTGAATTAGAGGAGAAACCTAGCATACATAGTTGGAAGGAAAGGTTGGAAGGGAAGGATGAGGGTGAAAGTGAGGGAACCATAGGTCAAGTGGGTTGGGTTGCCCACACTTTGTAGAAGTGAGGCAACCCTAGGCCCGCTTGGCTTGAGGTAACCTCAATTGTGGGAAGTGAGGTACCCACAAGTCAAGAGGGTTGCATTTGGGGGCTCCACCACAATTGGGTGGATTGGCACCCCAAAGTGCAAGACTACACCCAAAGTTGGGTGTAGTCCCAACCCAACTGTACACCACAATTGGTGTACAGTCACATGTGTTGGCATGCTACACACAATATATATTTCAACATCCTCCCCCAGATGACCCTCTCCTCCCCCAGATGACCCTCTCCTCCCCCAGATGACCCTCTCCTCCCCCAGATGACCCTCTCCTCCCCTACATGCTATGACAGAAAAGTGCTTCCGACTACTGCTGTGCTGCTGCAGGTGCTGTGAGCTGGTGGCTGTCCCAGTCATCAAGCATATCCGCCTACCCCAGATGACCCTCCCTAGATGACCGCCCTCCTTACCACCTACTTGGGCTGCTGTGCTGCTGCCTGCCGGCGCCTGTCCTATGAACTGGTGGCTGTTCCCGTCATCATTCATAATTTCAAATCCGCCTCCCCCAGATGGACCTCCTCCGCCACATGCAATGGACAATGCTCCCTAACGCCTACCTGGGCTGCTGTGCTGCAACATCTTGTACAGCAGGCGCCAGCACCTGGTGGCTGTCCCCATCGTCGTGCATACCCCCAGGTGCCCCCCCCCCCCACATGCGAAACGAAAGACTCCCTACTACTACCTACCTGGGTTGCTGTGCTGCAACATCTTGTACGGCAGACGCCAGCGCCTGGTGGCTGTCCCCATCGTCGTGCATACCCGCCTCCCCCAGATGCCCCTCCTCGTTCTCCGTGAAAGCATCGGCTTCAGAGTCCATCATTGCTGCGTCCAGCACCCGGTCGTCCTCCTCTAGCAACCCTGCACGCATGGAGCACCAGAAGCACACAATGGGTTGAAACACACAGGTGAATACATGTGCATACACGCGGCCCCCACACAAAGGGAACATCAGCCTCTCAGAGTCCATCATTGCTGTGTCCAGCACCCGGTCGTCCTCCTCTAGCAGCCCTGCACGGAGAATTAGCACATGTATCGACCATCAATGGATGCACTGAATCACACTTGCACAGCACACACAGTGAACATCAGCCTCAGAGTCCATCATTGCTGCATCCAGCACCCTGTCGACCCCCTCCAGTACCCCTCCAACTCCAAGGAGCACACAATGCATTGGAACACACAGGTGAGTACATGTGTCCCCCACACAGAAGAGCATCAGCCTCAGACTCCATCATTGCCGCATCCAGCACCCTGTCGTCCTCCTTGAGCAGCCCTGCACGCACGGAGCATTGACGAGTGCATCAACCATGGAAATATATTATTGCAACACACAACAGCATCCGCCTCTCAAACCCCATCTTGGCTGCATCCACCACCCTGTCGTCCTCCTCTAGCAGCTCTACATGAAGAGTTGGCCAACCCACGTCAAAGCTTTCAAATCATCCCCGTGTCTGCATCTATAAAAGCATAAACTTGCTTGCCCCACACAAACAGCAGCGGCCTCTCTGAGCCCATCATAGCTTGCTCTTTAGAAACGGACTGAAAAACTTGCTTAAAGAATCTGAAAAAAAACACCAGCAGAGCGAGAAGCAGCAACAATCCAACTGACCAACTTACAAGCCTCATTCAATATCCGGTTGACTTCAGAGCAGTGATGCTCATCGTTGTGTGCCTTGGGCTCCTGAGGATAACAACGGAGTGGTGATGGATGGATCATTGCAGCCAAGCCAGCTGAGGGTTGAAAATAAATTGAGACGCGAAAGGTGGCAAAACCTTAGGGGTGCTTACTATATATTTCCCAGGATTGATCCTTGCTATTGTGTGCTCAGGAAGAATTCCAGAGGTAGGACTGGGAAGAGGACGGTGGGATGGGGGAAGCATGGCCAGTCGACGCTCGGATTGGCTCCTGTAGAATACATTAACTTGAGGTCTAATACATAGATCCTGCTTCCAGTTTCCCTTGTTTCTACATGATGTAAAGCTTCTGCCGATTGCAATCATGCACACCTGCATCCAGAAGAAGAGCTTGCGGTCGTCCTCATTGAAGGAAAGCATGTACACCCGCCCACTGGATTGGGAGACCTGGTGAAGAGAGTGATTATATGAAAATATGCGGATATGCTGAAGTCAATCTAAAAGGCACGTCGGAAGATCCTGGGTGCCAGTTGGCACGTACACTCTCCCACTGGCTGGGCCACCTAGTGCGGTGAAATGAAGAGAAGTGCACCGGGTAAGGATTACTTTGAGTCAGATCAGAAGTCACCTCTGGAGCTTTACAATTTAGCGCCATCTTGAAAATCACCATGCCCTCTTCAACGACTTTGATTGGAGCAAGTGGTGCGATCCAGCTATCAGGCACCTTGACACTCGTCTCAGCATCTCAAGGATGTACCATCCCAGAATAAAAGGGACGAGTGCCTTCAACAACCCACAACAAAGGGCCAACAATTATGGGCACACAATAAACGGTCCACAATCATGGGCTCACAATCAATGGCCCGCAATGAAGGGCCAAAAATGAACGGCCCACAATGAAGGGCCAACAATGAAGGGCCCACAATCAAGGGCCCACAAATAAGGGCCCGCAACCGCAATCAAGGGCCCACAATCAAGGGCCCACAACAGCACGCCTGACTCAAACCCCAGCTTGCCTTTTCGAATTTAGCTTCGTAAGGGAACACCACCATGTCCTCCTCAACAGCTTGGGTGGTGCGATCCACTGTTGTAAGAACTCAAGACAAGACAACCCAACAACCCTGACACAGGCTGATTCCAAACCCAACTTGCCTTTTCAAACTTTGCTTCGTCTGGGAACACCACCATGTCCTCCTCAACAGCTTGGGTGGTGAGATCCACTGTTTTAAGATGTCAAGGCGAGACAACCGAACAACCCTGATACAGGCTGATTCCAAACCCAACTTGCCTTTTCGAACTTTGCTTCGTCTGGAAACACCACCATGTCCTCCTCAACAGCCTGGGTGGTGCGATCCAGCCACTGCAGATGCAGCAGTAGATCCTCTGTCTGAGACAAAGGGATGAGAAGGAAGGATGCGCTGACCGAAGGGAGAGAAGACGACATTGCTGCGATCCAGCCACTGCGGATCCAGAATTGGAACAACCTCTGTGAAAATAAACCAACAAACCCACTCACTCAGACCCACTATAACATACTAAAACGCCCTCAAACCCAATCAAACACATGCAAACCCCACGACCCTGAACAAACAAATGCAGGTAAATTCCATGGAAACGTTACGGTAAAAAATGGACGACTTGGTCCGTCATATACAGACACAAGGCTTAGATTTGATGATTAAGAATCCTCAGTACGACCCCAAGACTGACCCTGATCAGTCGGAACAGGCCCTTGCGAGGGTCGGGTTTCACAGTGCTACCGCTGACTGACATCCTCCCAGCGCGGAACTCCAGCAGCACGTCACCGTCATTCGGTGCGTCGGTCTGCCATAAAAATCACACCCATGGATACCGGCGAGGAAAGATAATCTATTAACCAAGAAACCGAATCTCGATGACAGTCGTTCTCCCAGAGCGAAATTCCAGCAGCACGTCGCCGTCACTCGGTGCGTCGGTCCGGCAAGGCGAGGCATTCAAAAAGAGAGGAGAGAAAGTTAAGGATCGACTAGACGGACAGATGCAGAGAGTCACCAATTCGATCGCAATTGCGGACGGTAACGGATCCGCATCTTAACGAGCTGTATCGCTGTGAAGCGTCATCCTTAATAGGCTATATTCAATAAAACGTCAATCTTAACACGCTCTATCTTAGTGAAGCGTCACTTCAAGAACTTTCGCCAAAATCAGCACGGATCCGCAGCAGATTGCGTAAAAGGGACGGGATTTGCGAGGCATGCCTTATCGAGCCGGCTGACGCTAGCACCCTGCAAAGTATAAGTAAGGATCGGGCACAGACAGCCTGAATACGACAGAACTTGTGAGCTGTACCTCCATACTGAAAAATCACGCTGGAGAAGACGCGTCGCGTCGTTAAAAACGCAGTCGCAGAACGATAACAACTAGTCAGTTGAGAGAAGTCACGCGCACAGCCGTAACGAAAGATCAATACGTGATCGAATCTCCCGGAACAACACAAGCACAGCTGATCGGTCCCTTTTTGCTGCTTATAGTCCGTTCACCCGTTGTCTGACACACTTTCAGGGAGTGTTATAGCTGATCGCCTGTTGATCGCTGGCCTTTTCCGAGGCTACTAAGAGAAACGGTATGGGATACGTCACATAACGCCAAACGTTTCTAGCTGGTAACTAGCGGAAGGTACATCCAATTTGTGTATGTTTAGTAGCCTTAGGGTGTGTCAGATCCGTTGGTCGGAAAAATCATGCCGGCCGGATCTAGCGAAGGTTACACATTCACGACATTCGTAAGGTACTTCGTTAATTTAGCACAATCCGGCCACTTGCTAAAATTTTGATGGCCGGTTTGATGGCCGGTTTAGCATTCGACAACTTTCCGACGTTCAAACGAATCGAGAGTCGACCACTTTGTCGACTCGTCAGCGCTACAGTACCTATGCGACTTGGCCAACATACCCAGGCGACTCAACGTGTCACAAGGACGACCCGTACGGCGCTTTCAGCGCCGTTGAACATGACCACTTTTCGGGGTCACACTTGTGTAGTGCGACACGAGGTAACCGAATACGTCACGATCAACTCGCAGTGTTTCGTATAGGTGGTTTGGGGACATGAGCAAGAAGCGGTCCATCCAACGCGCTCGTTGAATACTTCGGTCTTTTCGCCAGAATACCTGGTAATCGCTCTCGTCAGCAAAGTCAAGGAGCAAGGGCACCATGACACCGACGGCAGCGACCAAGGGGATGAGCACAACGTGCGTGAGTCCGATTGCTAAACGTCGTGCCCATCTGGGTGTGAAAGGATCCGCCATGTTGGATAATGGCTAGAGTGTAGGGACGTTCCGGTTTTTGTATGCTCTCGTCACACTCAGTTCGGGTAGACGACACGATCTCGCCGAGCCGGGTTGTAAATGGAGCCGCGGCTCACATCTTGACTCTCTGATCGTAGTGTGCACAATAGCGGTTGTGTCACTTTAGTAACAATACGCGCGACTCCGTCGCACAATCCGGCCAACTGTGCGACCTGCAAATCTGACACTTTTGCAAACCGGCCTGTAAATCGGCCACCAAATCTGTCAGATTTCAACACCTTGTAAATGTGGCTGGATGGTGGTCGGTTTAGCATTTGACCATTCGGTCTACTTTGGCGAAAAAAGGAGTAGACCAAAAGGGCGACAAATTTGCAGCCAAATCACATTGTAGCGGATCTGACGCACCCTTATATGCTGTTGGACTGGAACTGTCGCGAACCTTGAAAACCGTTACCAGCTGGAAAGTGGGGTGGGTTTGTAACGACGCGAAAACACCCTAGCCTGTAACGAAACGTTTTTTTCTGGTTACCGCGAGAAGAATCTTCCTCCATCCCTGTGTCAGAACTGTTGGCCAATGAGTCCCAAAGATGCCCACTCGCCGTTTCGCGAATCGGGAAAACGTATTTGCCCATTTTGATGTTGCTGCTTGCTGAGTACACTGAAGTCCGATCAAACTTGTATGCAACATTTGTTTTGGAGCACTGTGGATACTGTAGCCAATGCAATGTGCGATGCATGAAAAGTGCAACCAGCCACGTTTTCTAGCTCAGAAGCTGGGAGACCGTGGAGGTTGGTCAAGGAGGTGCGGCACGAAAGTGGTTTGGTTTGGTGTGGACGAGGACGACTGATTGGCCGATGGCACCTCGACCTTCCCCGCAGCTGCGCTTCGCCCGTTACGCTGTTTCTCCCCGTTTTGTTCGGTGCTCCCCATCCCAGCCGTTCCTTCACATTCGTCAATCCCGAAGCAATCTCAGCCGTTCCCACTCTTCAGTCTCTTGCAACTTTGGCCGTGGCGTTCCCTCCGTTTCTCTGAAACCTGACACAGCCATTTCAAACTTACAACTCTGTTGTACCTCCCAGACCGACTTTCTTTAGAAGCTATTTGACCTACTACGGTCTAGGAACTAGCGTCGTAGTGTCGATTTTCACGCGTTTTCGTTTGGCAAAGCGTTAGTAATAACGCTGTAGGCTAGGTCACTGTCTTTTCTTTAGCATACGCAAGCATTTAGCGATGCGGTTTGGATAGATACCTCTAGCCTAGTAACTCGCTGAACAGACCTTCATCAGCGAAAATGGTACGTTATTCCTTCAGGAGCCAATTTTCTCGTTACAGTCATCCTTTTTAGTTCTCTAACATTTTCTCTTCATTCCTGATCGTGTAGGCCACGGCGAGCAACATTGTGGTGGGGTCGTACGTGTGGGTGGAGGACGCGCAGAAGGCATGGATGCCAGCAGAAGTACTCGGAGTAGACAGCAAGACGGTTACCGTCAGGATTGGGCGGAAAGAGGTACCGTCTTTTACTCAGTCTATCCCGACCCGTGTTACGCCTATGTCGACACCATTGTTCCTACTGAGTACGCACGGCGCTGATCTTCTTTCCATTTCGAGGTCTCATCAGTCGATAATCTCGTTATACGCCTCATTCTGACCGACTTTGGGGGCGCCTCAAAAGTTGTACGCCTCATTCTGACCGCATACCGAGCTCAATGCATACCGTCTTCTGAAGCATGACCATTTGGGTTCCACTGCTGCAGGCCACGTGGAAGAAGGTATCTCCGTGCATCCCAAGGACCACGACCTCAGTTCCTCTCAAGGCTGATGCGTGTCATCCCCTCTGCAAAACTCGTTCCTTCCATTCCACCGCAGGCCACGCTGAAGCTAAATAACGTGCATCCCAAGGATCCACGCGTTGAGCGGCGTTTCAACTTGACGCAAAACATTCCCTCCCATTCCATTGCAGGCCAACCTGAAGCTTACCAACGTGCATCCAAGGACCCCAACTTTAGCTCACTTGCTCCCTTAAGAGGCTCGGAATCCCACTTCCTCCCGTCCCACCGCAGGTCAACCTGAAGCTGACCAACGTGCATCCCAAGGACCCCGACGCGCCGAGCGGCGGAGTGGACGACATGACGAAGCTGGCGTACCTGCACGAGCCGGGCGTGCTCAGCAACCTCGCGACGAGATACGGCCTCGACGAGATCTATGTAAGGCTGTGTAGATATGTGGGTGAGACCGCCTATAAGAGATGCGTGTGAGAGAAGCTGGCGTACCTGCACGAGCCGGGCGTGCTCAGCAACCTCGCCACGAGATACGGGCTCGACGAGATCTATGTATGTCTCAACTGTCTAGAGTTCACACGCGCTCCACGTGAGAGTGCATGTGAGAGATGTGTGTGCGGATGCCAGCAGCCTCGCCACGCGCTACAGCCTCGACGAGACCTACATGAGTCTGCGCGGTTCAGTGTCTGGGCGCGCTTCATTTCATTGGCAGATAGCATATGGCAGATAGCAGATGTCAGATGTCAGATGGCAGATGGCAGATGGCATAATTCAGATTCCTAGAGCTTAGAAGAGATGTGTGTGAGACTTCAGTCGGGCGTGCTCAGCAACAGTCCACCCAGGGCTCACACGGTTCCATGTGAGAGTGCTGCAACGAGATGCGTGTGTGAGACTCGAGCCGCGCTTGCCGAGCAACCTCGCCACGTGCGGCGCTAAGGCCTTGACAAGATCTACGTAAGGCCATCCGGTCCAGCCTCCAGGGTGGAGATGCGTGTGAGACAGGCATCTTGCAGACATACATACGCAACATACTAATTGCCGTGAAGTGAATCCGTTTCAGCGCCTGGACAAGATTGCAGTCGACAATCTCACAAGGTTACTTGACAAACATTGTGATTGCGGTGGACAAGATCCTTGAGTCGACTAAAAAGTCCCCCATATAAACTGTGACTGCACTGCATATATACTTGGTCAACATTGTAATTTTTCTGAACCCGTCACAGCAGCTCCTACATCGGTCGCATGCCTCAAACATTGCTCCTAAGTAAAACCTGATTCCCCCCCGTGTGCATGTGCATGCCTGGCTGTGTGATGGTGACTGCAGACATACACGGGCAACATCCTGATTGCTGTGAATCCGTTTCAGCGGCTGCCGCATCTGTACAGCCAGCCCATGATGGAGCAGTACAAGGGCGTGCGCCTGGGCGAGCTCAGCCCGCACGTGTTTGCCATCGCCGAGACAGCTTACAGGTGGGCCGATGGGCGGGTGGGCGGGTGGGCGGGTGCGAACCAGTCTCACATACCCCCATCATACTTCCTTTTCCTCCCACCCACCCCTTTCAGGGCCATGCTGGACTGTGGCGAGAGCCAGTCCATCCTGGTGAGCGGGGAGAGCACAGGTCATGTGAACATGCGAACCAGACTTATACCCCCATACCCTCTTTTTCTCCCCCCCCACCCCACCCCCTCAGGGCCATGCTGGACTGTGGCGAGAGCCAGTCCATTCTGGTGAGCATATGAGCACACTTCAAGTCCATATCCCTTACTCTCTCCCCTCCGTCCTATACCCCACAGGGCCATGCTGGACTGTGGCGAGAGCCAGTCCATTCTGGTGAGCGGGGAGAGCGGGGCGGGCAAGACAGAGACAACGAAGCTCATCATGCAGTACCTCGCTTACATGGGCGGGCGGGCCACAGAGGGGCGATCCGTGGAGGCACAAGTGCTGGAGGTAGGTCTTTAGAGTGGTTAGAGTCGGCTGAAAACACACCTCAGAGGTGTTGTTGTACGGATGGGAAGAGCAGGGCAGGCAAGACGGAGACAACGAAGCTCATCATGCAATACCTTGCGTACATGGGCGGGTGGGCCACAGAGGGGTTTTGAGTTGACTCAAAACAAGACGGAGTTTTGAGTCGACTCAAAACAAGACGGAGACAACGAAGCTCACCATGCAATACCTTGCGTACATGGGCGGGCGGGCCACAGAGGGGCGATCGTTGGAAGCGCAAGTGCTGGAGGTTTTTGGGTGGAAGCGCAAGTGCTGGAGGTTTTTGCGCAAGCGCAAGCGCAAGCGCAAGTGCGTGGGCGGCTGTTTCGTGGGTGTGTGGACGTGGATTAGAGAAGGCAAGACTTTTTGGGTTAAGTTATGTGGAAGATATGATGTGCGCGTGGGCCCTGGGGGCTCAATGCACAAATGCTGCTTGGAACAGTTGTAACTGAATGGGTTGGGAGGGGTGGGTGCGCTCTCCATCCGAGTTGACTTTTGAGTCGACTCAAAAGTCAAATGGGTTGGGAGGGGTGGGTGCGCTCTCCATCCGAGTTGACTTTTGAGTCGACTCAAAAGTCAAATGGGTTGGGAGGGGTGGGTGCGCTCTCCATCCCCCTAACCCGTCATTGTGGATTGAAACTTCTTTTGCTCCCTTTGGCTGTCGTCTCTCCCTTCCTTGTCTTCTCCCTCCCTCCCACCCTTCTTCTCCCTCCCTCCCACCCTTCTTCTCCCTCCCTCCCACCCCTCCCCTCCCTCCCTCCCCACCACCCCTCCCCTCCCTCCCGCCCACCCCTGCCCTCCCTCCTCCCACCCCTCCCCTCCCTCCCTCCCGCCCCTCCCGTCCTCTTCCACGTCTCCCCTCGCTTCCTCCTCCCGTCCTCCCGTCCCTCCCTTCCACCCCTCCTCTCCCTCCCTCCCATCTCTCCTCTTCCTCCCTGCTGCCGCTTCCTACCTACCTTCCTAACCGTGCAGTCAAATCCCCTTCTAGAAGCCTTTGGCAATGCCAAGACCGTCAGAAACAACAACTCCAGGTCTGTCTTTGTTTCTTTGCTATCGCCCCCTCCTCCACTCCTCCTCCCTCCTCCTCACCCCTTTATCCCTTGTTCCCCCCCTCCTCTCCTTTCCCCTCAGCTGTCGCTCGACTTCTCTAAGAACCTCTTTTTTCGTTCCCCTCGACTTCCCACCTGATCTCGCCTCACCTCACCTCATCTCCACGCATATCACCTCATCTCTCAACTCATCTCTGCAACGCAGTTGCCACTCAATACTCGAGCATCTCATACAACTCAGCATGGCACTTTAAAGAATTCCCAGAAGCAACCTAATGTGATGTGCCACACACCTGCAACCTGCAATCTTACCTTTTCCTGCAACCTCCTCCCCTCGTCCCCGAACCTGTTTCCCGAACCAACATATCCGAACCACACCAGCCGCTTCGGCAAGTTTGTGGAGATCCAGTTCGATGCCGCAGGGCGAATATCGGGGGCAGCAGTGCGGACATACCTGCTAGAGCGGTCCAGAGTGGTGCAGACCTCTGACCCCGAGCGCAACTACCACTGCTTCTACCAGCTCTGTGCTGGCGCCACTCCTGAGGTACGTTTTGCGGCGTCTTACAACGTGTATTGTATGCTCTCACATGGTGCAGATCTCCGCTCCTAACCACACCACAGCTACCACTGTTTCTGCCATCTCTGGTGCTGACACCTCCTTCGAGGTAACTTGGACCTTCCCTGTTCACACCCCCCCCCTCTCCCACCCCCCCCTTCTCTTTTCCTCCCCTCTCGTTCTTCCCATACCTCTGTGCGTTTCAGGAAGCAGCACGACTGAAGCTCGCCCCACCAGAGACGTTTCACTACCTCAACCAGAGTTCCTGCTTTGAGCTGACGGGGTATAGCAACAATGCGGATGAGTATGCTGCCACCCGCAGAGCCATGGATGTGGTTGGACTCAGCCATTTGGAGCAGGTGAGAGCGGTTGAAAGCGGTGCTGAGGGGCGGGTTCGTGAAACACACTAAAGAGATCCGCCCATTGCATGGAACTACGCAGACGAGTATTCTGCCACTCGCAGAGCCATGGATGTGGTGGGCTCAGCCACCTGGAGCAGGCGAGGGGCTGGTTGGTTAGTGGCCAAGGCGACTCTGATGGGGAGGGGAGTAGGCATTGGAGCTTCTTCAGATCCTCCTGCTGGTTTTTGAGAATTCTCAAAAACCAGCTCTGATGAGGAGGGGAGTAGGCATTTGAGCTTCTTCAGAACTTCCTGCTCCCCCCTTCCCCATCTTTCCCCCGCTCCCCCCTTGCCTGTACCCTATCTTCCAGGATGCAATCTTTCGAGTGGTGGCGGCCATTCTACATCTGGGCAACATCTCGTTTGCCCCGGGAAAGCAGCCGGACTCGTCCAAGGTGTCGGGCGACAAGGCCAAGTTCCACCTGGATGCAGCGGCAGAGCTGCTCGGGTAAGACTAGGAGGGAGGATCGTAGTGCTTGTGCATCGTGTGCAGGCACGGGAGTGTGCATCTGGTGCTCTGGTAGGCTGGTTGGAACTTGAGCTCAGTGGTTACAATCGGGGTCGGGGCAGGCACGCAGCCCGACTTATCCAAGGTGTCAGGCGGCAAGGCCAAGTTCCACCTGGATGCAGCAGCGGAGCTCCTTGGGTAAGCAGAGGGAGGTCAGGTGTATGGCATGCTTGAGCGCATTTTATTCCCATGATCCCATCACAACCGCTGCTCGTCCAAGGTGTCAGGTGACAAGGCCAAGTTCCATCTAGAGGCAAGATCACATGCTCGCTGTTGACACCTCTGCACCTCTGTTCAAGATCACATGCTCGCTGTTGACACCTCTGCTCCTCTGTTCAAGATCACACGCTCGCTGTTGACACCTCTGCACCTCTGTTCAAGATCACACGCACGCTGTTGACACCTCTGCACCTCTGTTCAAGATCACACGCTCGCTGTTGACACCTCTGCACCTCTGTTCAAGATCACACGCTCGCTGTTGACACCTCTGCACCTCTGTTCAAGATCACACGCTCGCTGTTGACACCTCTGCACCTCTGTTCAAGATCACACGCATGCTGTTGACACGCGGTGGCAACATCAAGAGAGAGTTGATGTGTATGCTGCGCTCTCCTGTGCTCTCACCCCCTTTCCTATTCACCTACAGGTGTGACCGGCGGGCATTGCGGGAGTCACTGATCACTCGCACACTGGTGACTAGGGACGGGAACATCAAGAGGGAGTTGGATCCGGCAGCAGCAGTTATCAGCAGAGACACGCTCGCCAAGACCATCTACTCCAAGCTCTTTGACTGGTTGGTCATTAACACGAGGGAGTGTGGTGCGTGTTTGGTGTGTGGTGTGTGTGTGCTGTGCGTGTGTGGTTCATCAAGAGGGAGTTGGATCCAGCAGCAGCGGTGATCAGCAGAGATATGCTCGCCAAGACCATCTACTCCAAGCTGTTTGATTGGTGGGCAGGCCTGCATGCGTGAAGGTGTGTGGTGTGTGGGTGGGCTCTGTTTCTCTTTGGTGTTGTTTAAGGGCGGATTCGATCGCAGCAAGCCAACTGAGGTCTCTCGTGTCTAGATCTAAATGGATCTAACCAGATTCAACTAGGAGAGAAGAAAGCGAGTAGAAGAAAGACTTAGTAAGTCAATCGGCAAGACAAAACATCGCCTGGGATGTGCGTGCGTACGCGTTTCGGCAACAAAGCCTTCATCAGCGCAGTGCTAGTCTAACTGACTAACTCATCATCCCTTTTCTACTCTGTCTCTCCCTCCCGTCAGTTAGTCAGTTAGACTAGCACTGCGCTGATGAAGGCTTTGTTGCCGAAACGCGTACGCACGCACATCCCAGGCGATGTTTTGTCTTACCGATTGACTTACTAAGTCTTTCTTCTACTCGCTTTCTTCTCTCCTAGTTGAATCTGGTTAGATCCATTAAGATCTAGACACGAGAGACCTCAGTTGGCTTGCTGCGATCGAATCCGCCCTTAAACAACATCTCTTTGATGTGTGGTGTGTTCTGGATCCAGCAGCAGCGGTGATCAGCAGAGATACGCTCGCCAAGACCATCTACTCCAAGCTCTTCGACTGGTGAACCCTGTTATATGTTAGAGTGTGGTGTGGTGTGGTGTGCTGTGCTATGTGCTGGTGTGGTGTGTGGTCTTTTATGGTGTGGTGTGGTGTGGTACCCGACCCGACCCGGCCCCGACCCGACCCGACCCGGGGGCGGGTCAAGCCTGACCCGGCACCCGATACCCGGGTCGGGCCTAGGGATGAGCAAGGTGGCGAACACCTGTTCGGTTCGCCTCGAACACGTTCGAGGCGAACCGAACAGGTATTTTTTTTTGGCTTAAAATGTTCGCCGAACAGTGTTCGATGTTCGCCCGAACACGTTCGTGTTCGGGCCGCCGCTGCAATTTGCCCGTGACGAACACGAACACTGTTCGAGGTTCGCCCGAACACGCCTTCACAGGCGAACGGCGAACACCATTTTTTGCTCAAAGTGTTCGCCGAACCGAACAGTGTTCGGTTCGGCAAACGAAGGTGTTCGTGTAGGGGCGAACACGAACACGTTCGTGTTCGCCACTTGCTCATCCCTAGTCGGGCCAGAGATCTCAAAAGTTCCGACCCGACCCGACCCGACCCGGAACCCGGCTGGCCCGCCAAAGTCGGGTCGGGTTGGGTCGGGTCGGGTCATTTGATCATACCTACATGCATAACAAGCAAACAAACCGGTAACCTAACTACCACACCATCTCCTACCCACTCCCGCCCCCCTCTGTCCGACCCTATTGGTCAAACGGGTGCTCAATCACAGCCCTTCTCTCTCTCTCTCTCTCTCTCTCTCTCTCTCTCTCTCTCTCTCTCTCTCTCTCTCTCTCTCTCTCTCTCTCTCTCTTTACCCTGATCTGATCCCACCCACCAGGCTCGTGCACAAGGTGAACGTGTCAATCGGGCAGGACTCGCACGCCAAGTCCAATCGGTGTGCTTGACATCTCAGAGCCCCTCTCTCCCTCCCTCTCCTGGTGTATCGTTTTCTCTCCTCCCTACCCCATCCCACCAGGCTGGTGCACAAGGTGAATGTGTCAATCGGTCAGGACCCCAATGCCAAGTCCATCATTGGTGTGCTTGACATCTACGGCTTCGAGAGCTTCCAAACCAACAGGTGAGGCTCGGGGAACAACACGTGAGGCTTGGGGAGTTGGGAATGTTGACTGAAAGTTCATGATGACTGAACAACACGTGAGGCATGAAAATTTCTAGGGAAAGCCTCTTGAGAGATTCTAGATCTCAGAGGAAAGAAGAGATTGTAAATGCAGTATCCTGTTGGATTGGAGCTACTTGAATAATCCCTTTGTGCCTTGCGAAATTGTTTGCCTTCCCCTGTGCCTTGTTGTGACTGTGCCTTGCAGCTTCGAGCAGTTCTGTATCAACCTGGCAAACGAGAAGCTCCAACAACACTTCAACCAGGTATGCTTGCCTTGCATCATCCCCATCTCTTTCAGTTGACGGAAAAATGCCACCCTTTCATTCCTTTTTTCGTACCACCACCACCACCACCTCCTCCTCCTCCTCCTCCTCCTCCTCCTCCTCCTCCTCCTCCTCCTCCTCCTCCTCCTCCTCCTCCTCCTCCTCCTCCTCCTCCTCCTCCTCCTCCTCCTCCCCCTCCCCCTCCCCCTCCTCCTCCTCCTCCTCCTCCTCCTCCTCCTCCTCCTCCTCCTCCTCCTCCTCCTCCTCCTCCTCCTCCTCCTCCTCCTCCTCCTCCTCCTCCTCCTCCTCCTCCTCCTCCTCCTCCTCCTCCGCCTCCGCCTCCGCCTCCTCCTCCTCCTCCTCCTCCTCCTCCTCCTCCTCCTCCTCCTCCTCCTCCTCCTCCTCCTCCTCCTCCTCCTCCTCCTCCTCCTCCTCCTCCTCCTCCTCCTCCTCCTCCTCCTCTTTCCCCTCCCCCCCCCCCAGGCTTCGGTTCCCAGCATGTGTTCAAGGCAGAGCAGGAGTATGAGAGCAAGGCGATAGACTGACTACATTTGCTTTGAGTCTCCAGCACCCCATCTCCTATCCCGTGTGTCCTTGCCTTCCCATTTCTCCAGCATGTGTTCAAAGCAGAGCAGGAGGAATGCGAGAGCGAGGCCATTGACAGAGTATGTTTGCTTCGAGTCTCAACCACCCCCTCGGTCTACCCTGTGCACCCTCCTTTTCCCATTTCTCTTCCCCAGCACGTGTTCAAGGCAGAGCAGGAGGAGTATGAGAGCGAGGCGATAGACTGGAGCTACATCGAGTTTGTGGACAACCAAGACGTGCTGGAGCTCATAGAGAAGGTGCGCATCCAGAAGACGTGATTTAAAACCAGGGTCTCATGTAAGAGAATCTGCCTTCAACTGCAAAACATTTGACGCTCGGTCACCCTGTTTGAGAAGGCGAAGTTTAGTGGTAGGTCTGCCAATTCAGTGTGCGACACCTTTCCGATTTTGCCCCTGATTCAATTGCAAAACAAATTGCTGAGTACTGGAGACTTTCGGGAAGCTCGTACATTTTGCTGGTGATTTTGCTTCGGCACCGAACCAAAAACCGAGCCTGGACGGTTTGGATGCACCCTGCGATTTGTTTTTCCTTCGCGCCCCTCGCTATACCCCTCGTCAAACTTTACACCTCGCCAACCAATCCTAGTCAAGGCCCATTCATCAACTGCAAAACAAATGAATTACGTGAGACCCTGGTTTTTAACAAGGTATGGTGTCCCGCCGCTGCTTTCTGAAGGCTATTTTGGATTCTGTGTTGTGATTCTGAAGCAATTTTGGTGAGAAAAAGTGCCAAAAAGCTGGGGAAGTTAAGGCCAATGAATCTACATGTCTGATGGATGGAGTGACGACGGTGAACAAGTTGTGAGTGGTTATAGAAAAAAGGCTTAATCTGTGGCATCATGATGTGTTATGAGACAAATATCTCTGCTGTGCAACTAGCCTCTTCCTTGCAATGCATTTCTCCCCTTAATTGCACTTTCTTGTGCCTTTTCATGCTGTGCTGTTCTGTGTGGTGCTGTGTGGTGCTGCGTGCGTGCTGTGTTGGTGTGTTTCTTGTTTCTCTCGGTTGCATGGTGCAGAAGCCAATGGGAATCATCGCTCTCCTGGACGAGCAATGGTGAGTCGCCCGGGAGGATTGACTCTCAAAATTTTGACCCTAAACCCTTAGCATAGGCACTCGGTCTTGCTGGGGAAGCATCATTGCATTCCAGGAAATAGTATGCCTTCCATGCGAGATGAAAAGACCTCTGCTGTTATAAACATTCACACTTTATAGTGTATCATACACACAGAAACTTCACACTCTGCTTGCATCACTTTCGTCACTGTACCACGGAAAAAGATGTCTTGAAGCCCACTCCTGGTAGGTGCGATCATTCCCATCCACTCTGACATCCATGATCCATCCACTTGGTCTTACCACCCCCACCTCCCCATCCCAATCCCTAATGGTGAAAACTCTTCCTCCCACTCCGATCCGAACTGACACCCCCCCCTCCTCCCCCCCTCCCCCCTCCCGGCCCCCACAGCATGTTCCCCAAGTCCAACCACGAGACATTCGCCACGAAGCTTGTTTCAACAATTGTGTCCCTCTCCCAATCCCCACGTCCCCTTCGCCCCCCTTGAATGCGCACCGTTCACAGCATGTTCCCCAAGTCCAACCACGAGACATTCGCCACGAAGCTTGTTTCAATAATTGTGTCCCTCTCCCAATCCCCACGTCCCCCCTTGAATGCGCACCGTTCACAGCATGTTTCCCAAGTCCAACCACGAGACATTCGCCACGAAGCTCTACCAGACGGTGGGCGCCCACCGGCGCTTCGACAAGCCCAAGCTCTCTCAGACAGACTTCACCATCGAGCACTATGCGGGCAAGGTGGGTAAGAAGGAGTTTGAGATCTGGGTTTGGGGGTAGAAGAACAAGGACTATGGTGATAATGGTAGAGCACACCTCCTCTGGCTCGTTCCCCACCTTCGCTTCTCCTCTTCTTGATCAGATCAGGTGACGTACTGCACCTAATCTGATCAAGAACAGGGAGAAGAACAAGGACCACGTGGTGATGGAGCACCACGCGTGTATTTCATGCTTCTCTGATCCTTCCCACTCTGCTTCTCATAACCCTCGCCCCCCCGGTGACCTACCAGACGGAACTGTTTTTGGAGAAGAACAAGGACTATGAGGAGATGGAGCACCAGGCACTGCTGGGATGTTGAGAGTACTCTTTTCGTCATATGTTCTCCTCGTGTCCACCACTATTCATCAGGTCACATACCAGACGGACCTCTTTCTGGAGAAGAACAAGGACTACGTGGTGATGGAGCACCAGGCACTGCTAGGGGCGTCAATAGACCCGTTTGTGGCGGCACTCTTCCCCATGCCCTCAGGCGACAAGGCCAAGACCAAGTTCACTTCTCTGGGTTCGGGATTCAAGGTGAGTTTGTGACGAGTTCGTGGTTTTGGGTTCAAGATGGGCTGGTTGGTATGCAGTGACATACTGGTATGGGACTTACTGGGAGCACAAGGCTAGGTGCTTTGATAGACCCCTTTGCCTTGACATACTGGGATTCAAGGATACGTTTTCTTCCAAAACCTTTTGTCTCCTTTTCCACACCCACCTCAATCTATCCCACCTAAATCTTAATATCCCCCCCTTCCTGCAGCAACAACTGGCGGAGCTGATGTAAACTCTGATGTAACATAGAGTTGCAACACGTGCGATGCGTGAAGCCTGACGGACCAACCCGCATTTTTCCACATGCCGGCTGTCTCCTCTACTCCACTCCACCCATCCATCGTGTAATGAGTCGAGTTTTGAGTTGACTCAAAACTCAACTCACGTCTTCACATGCCGGCTGTCTCCTCTACTCCACCCATCCATCCCACCCCACTCCAGCGCACAATCCCCCTTGCAACAATTGGCGGAGCTGATGGCGACGCTAAGCCACATGGAGCCCCCGCACTATAAGTTTTTTGAGAATTCTAAAAAAACATACGCTAAGCTACATGGAGCCCCCGCACTACGTGCGATGTGTAAAGCCCGACCCCACTTCCCCCCCACAACCCCACACCCCCCTCCTTACAGCAACAACTAGCAGAGCTGATGTCGACACTCAGCCACATGGATCCACACTACCGTGCGATGAGTGAAGCCTCCTCTACCCTACTCTCCACCACCCCCACCTCCCCCCCTGGCAGCAACAACTGGCGGAGCTGATGTCAACGCTGAGCCACATGGACCCTCACTACGTGCGATGTGTGAAGCCCAACGGGCAGTACAAGCCGGGGTACTTTGAGAACCCCAGTGTCATTCACCAACTCAGATGCGGGGTGAGTTGAGTCGGGTTGAGATCGGTTGAGTTGGGTGAGTTGAGGTGAGTTAGATTTCCACTCACAATCTGTGCTGTGTGTGGGTGTCTGAAGCCCAACGGGCAGTACAAGTCAGGGCACTTTGAAAACCCGAGCGTGGTCCACCAATTGTGATGCGGGGTGAGTTGGGCTGGTCAGGTTGAGTTGGGTTGAAATCGGTTGAGCTGTGGTTGAGCTAAGTTAGAGTCCCATTCTCACATCCTGTGTAGTAACACTCACTTCCTGTTCTCACCCTCTTGCCTCCTCTCCCACCTGCCTCTCTCATCTCACCCACGTGCCTCTCTCCCACCTGCCTCTCTCATCTCACCCACGTGCCTCTCTCCCACCTGCCTCTCTCATCTCACCCACGTGCCTCTCTCCCACCTGCCTCTCTCATCTCACCCACGTGCCTCTCTCCCACCTGCCTCTCTCATCTCACCCACGTGCCTCTCTCCCACCTGCCTCTCTCACCCATCTCATCACAGGGCGTGCTGGAGGCCATTCGAATCAGCTGTGCGGCCCCCTCGCACGCCCCTCACCTCTCACCTCCGTGAAACTGGATTTCCGCCCTCTGGTGCATCCCTTGCATCGCTCGCGCTTGACACCCCTTCGACCAGTTCTGAGTCAACTGAAAACACTCACTTCCCTCTCTAACCCACTTGACTTTCCCTCCCACCCACTGCCTCTCCCACCCATCTGCCTCTCTCACCCATCTCATCACAGGGCGTGCTAGAGGCCATTCGAATCAGCTGTGCGGGCTATCCCACTCGCCGCCCCTTCGATGAGTTTCTTGACAGATTCTCTGTTCTCGCACCAGACCTGTGTGATGGGAGAAGGTCAGTGCCAAAACACACCTGACATGAAAAGACTCCGTTCTCGCACCAGACCTGTGTGATGGGAGAAGGTGTGTGCCAAAACACACCTGACACGACAATACCCCGTTCTCGCACCAGACCTTGTGTGTGTAATGGGAGGAGTTCAGTTTTCACTCTTGTGGAAGTCTCAAGACTCGTCCGCCTTGACAAATCACACAATAGATTATCTGTTCTCACATCGGACCAGTGACTTTTGAGTCGACTCAAAAGTCAACAAATTACACAATAGATTCTCTGTTCTTGCACCGGACCAGTGTGATATTGAAGGTCAATTGCAGACCCTCTCATTCACGAGCCATCCTCCTTCGTCCCCCTCTTCGCCTCAATCCCCCTGGCCGCTGCTTTCCTTCTTCTATCGCAATCACGAGGCTACTGGAAATCTCATGCTTCAATTCTTAGCTTGATGTTTCACTCCCCCTTTCTCCCCTCTTCCCCTGCTCCCCCTCGTGTTTCCATCTCCTTGACTGCAGATACGACGACAAGACAGCCGTTACTCTCATGCTGCAACGACTGGGCTTCAGCAACTTCCAGGTAACTTTCCAACCCCGCAATCGCACCCATTCTGAGTTCAAACAGGAGGGTACCAGTCGAGAGAAGAGGGCTGTTTAGGTCGAAAGCTGGTGGTGCAGGCAGGTGGAGGGAGGAGTGGTGGAGTTAGGGTGAGGCTGGAGGATGGACATCAGATACCGTATTCCCACTCTCCACTTGTCCTGACTCTGCTCCATCCCCATCCTTCCCAATCAGGTATCAAGAACCAAGGTGTTTCAACGAGCAGGGCAGATGGCAGACCTGAAGCTGGGGTGGCTGACACATAAACCACTTCCCTTCTTACCAACCCCTCCTTTTTCTCCCTTCTCCCCGCCTCCCGTGATTCCTCATTCTATTAGGTGGGCAGGGCCAAGGTGTTCCTACGAGCGGGACAGATGGCGGACCTGGATGCGCTGAGGGCGGAGAGGCTTTCAGAGGCACCTAAAACTCTCCCCTCCGGCTCCTCCCCTTCTCCCCCTGCTCTCCCCATACCCTTCCCCTTGAACAGGTGGGGAGAACCAAGGTGTTCCTACGAGCAGGGCAGATGGCGGACCTGGATGCGCTGAGGGCGGAGAGGCTTATGTGGGCGGCGCGCGTGATTCAGCGCGCGTGGCGGTCGTGGCGGCAGTTCATGCGGTACAACATGCTGCGATGGGCCGTCATTAGGATGCAGGCGCGGTGGCGAGGTGAGAAGATTAAGGGATGAGTGTGAGAGAGAGGAGATGCCAACGTGGTCGTGGCGGCAGTTCATGCGGTACAACATGCTGCAATGGGCTGTGATCCGCATGCAGGCGCGGTGGCGAGGTGAGGAGGGGTGTGAATGGGTGAGAAGGGTAGTAAGTGGAAGAGATGGAAGGTGTGGTGTGTTGGCGGCAGTTCTTGCGGTACAATATGCTGCGATGGGCCGTGATTTGCATGCAGGCATGGTGGCGAGGTGAGGAGGTTGAAGGTTGAGAGAGGGCAGAAGGTGGATGAGAAACAAAGGAGTGGGTGATCTTGATGGTCGTGGCTGCAGTTCATTCTGTTCGTGTTCGAGCACACACGCTGCATCACTGCCTCTCTCACTCAACCTCCTGTCATTCCCCTCTCTCCCTTCTCTCCTCCCTCTCTGCCCCTCTTCCCTCTTCGCACCCCTCCGCTCTCTCCCCCCCAGGCCACCTGACTCGGCAGTACTACAGCTGGCTGCGAGAGGAGACGGCAGCAGTGACGATTCAGAAGCACGTGCGGCGATACACCACGCAGCTCGCCTACGAGCACACGTGCTGCTGCACTCACTCAACCTCCTCTCACTCCTCTCGCTCCCCTCTCTCCTCCCTCCTCTCGTCCATCCCCCCTCTCCCTCCCCTCCTCCTCCCTCTCTCTCTGCCCTCCTCCCTCTCTCTGCCCTCCTCCCTTCCCCAATACCCTCCAGGTCACCTGACCCGGCAGTACTACAGCTGGTTACGAGAAGAAGCGGCAGCAGTGACGATTCAGAAGCACGTGAGGCGATACACCACGCAGCTCGCCTACGAGCACACGCGCTACAGGGCCATCATCATCCAGGCGGCTGCTCCATTGCTGCTCTCCCTCAACCTCCTCTCACTCCCTTCGCTCCCCTCTCTCCCCCCTCCTCCCCTCCTGCTCTCCTCCCTCTCCCCTCTCTTTTTCTCCCTCCGCTCTCCCCGCTCCCGCTCTTCTCCTTCCCCCCAACCCCCAGGCCACCTGACTCGGCAGTACTACAGCTGGCTACGAGAAGAAGCAGCAGCGGTGACGATTCAGAAGCACGTGCGGCGGTACACCACGCAGCTGGCCTACGAGCACACGCGCTACAGTGCCATCATCATCCAGGCGGCGTTCCGCGGCATGTTGTGCCGCAAGTGGGTGCGGGAGATCAGAGTGCAGCGGGCGGCAACAAGGATACAGGTTGGTTGGGAGGAGAGAGAAGAGGAAAGGGGCGAGAGGGCAGACATGGAGGTGGACGGGTAGGGACCGGGATAGGATTGACCGAGTATCCATTTGTTGGTTGGCATGTTGAGCCGCAATGCTAGCGGGTGCAAGAGATGAGAGTGCAGCGGGCGGCAACAAGGATGGTTGGAGGGGAGAGGAGGGTGGAAGAAAGAGGGGTGGGGAAAGGAGGGTGGAAGAAAGAGGGGTGGGGAGAGGAGGGTGGAAGAAAGAGGGGTGGGGAGAGGAGGGTGGAAGAAAGAGGGGTGGGGAGAGGAGGGTGGAAGAAAGAGGGGTGGGGAGAGGAGGGTGGAAGAAAGAGGGGTGGGGAGAGGAGGGTGGAAGAAAGAGGGGTGGGGAGAGGAGGGTGGAAGAAAGAGGGGTGGGGAGAGGAGGGTGGAAGAAAGAGGGGTGGGGAGAGGAGGGTGGAAGAAAGAGGGGTGGGGAGAGGAGGGTGGAAGAAAGAGGGGTGGGGAGAGGAGGGTGGAAGAAAGAGGGGTGGGGAGAGGAGGGTGGAAGAAAGAGGGGTGGGGAGAGGAGGGTGGAAGAAAGAGGGGTGGGGAGAGGAGGGTGGAAGAAAGAGGGGTGGGGAGAGGAGGGTGGAAGAAAGAGGGGTGGGGAGAGGAGGGTGGAAGAAAGAGGGGTGGGGAGAGGAGGGTGGAAGAAAGAGGGGTGGGGAGAGGAGGGTGGAAGAAAGAGGGGTGGGGAGAGGAGGGTGGAAGAAAGAGGGGTGGGGAGAGGAGGGTGGAAGAAAGAGGGGTGGGGAGAGGAGGGTGGAAGAAAGAGGGGTGGGGAGAGGAGGGTGGAAGAAAGAGGGGTGGGGAGAGGAGGGTGGAAGAAAGAGGGGTGGGGAGAGGAGGGTGGAAGAAAGAGGGGTGGGGAGAGGAGGGTGGAAGAAAGAGGGGCGGGGTGAGGGGGGGAGGAAGTGGTAGGAGATGGTATGGCGTATGAATAATTTGGTACCCATGTGTTGTTGCGACATGTTGTTGAGTGCCCATCTTACTTACTGGTTTTCGAGAATTCTCAAAAGTCACCATGTTGTTGAGTGCCCATCTTCCTTACCATGTGAATTTTGAGTCGACTCAAAAGTCACCATGTTGTTGAGTGCCCATCTTCCTTACCATGTGACTTTTGAGTCGACTCAAAAGTCACCATGTTGTTGAGTGCCCATCTTCCTTACCATGTGACTTTTGAGTCGACTCAAAAGTCACCATGCTGTTGAGTGCCCATCTTCCCTACCATGTTTGCCTCATGCAGGCGGCCTGACGGGGCTGCGTGGATCGAGTGATGTTCCTCTGTGTGCGTTGGAGGCTTGGAGTGCACCTTTTTTCCACCTCTCCTTCCCACCCCTGCATCCTGCTTGCGTGCTCCCCCCTTCCCTCTTACCCCACTGCAGGCGGCCTGGCGGGGCTATGTGGATCGAATGGACTTCCGTCGTGTGCGCTGGAGAACATATTTTTCCCGCCTCTCTCCTGCTTGCTTCCTCCCTCCTTCCCTCTTACCTCGTGCAGGCAGCCTGGCGGGGCTATGTGGAGCGAATGGACTTCCTCCACAAGCGCTGGAGCGCACCTTTTACCCACCCCTCCTTCCCACCCCTGTTTTCCTGCTTGATTCTTCCCTCCTCCCCCGCCACTTACCACTGCAGGCGGCCTGGCGAGGCTATGTGGATCGAATGGACTTCCTCCGCGAGCGCTGGAGCGCCGTGGTCATTCAGAGCGCGTGGCGAGCGAGACAGGCACGCAGGCTGCTGAGACAATTGCGAGTGGTGAGCAATAGTCATTTATTGAGACAATTGCGAGTGGTGAGCAATAGTCATTTATTGAGACAATTGCGAGTGGTGAGCAATAGTCATTTATTGAGACAATTGCGAGTGGTAAGCAATAGTCATTTATTGAGGCACCTCGAAAAACGCACAGGCTGCTGAGACAATTGCGAGTGGTGAGCATAGTCGTTTATTGAGACACCTCAAAAAACCCACAGGCTGTTGCGACAAGACTGCAAGTGGTTGGTGAGAGGGGGAGGGGGGAGGGGGGGGGGGGGTGGGTTCAGGCAGGCTGTTTGCACTGCTGTTCGTCCAATTAACCCAACCAGTCTTCTGTTGCTGTTTGCACTGCTGTTCGTCCAATTCACCCAACCAGTCTTCTGTTGCTGTTTGCACTGCTGTTCGTCCAATTCACCCAACCAGTCTTCTGTTGCTGTTTGCACTGCTGTTCGTCCAATTCACCCAACCAGTCTTCTGTTGCTGTTTGCACTGCTGTTCGTCCAATTCACCCAACCAGTCTTCTGTTGCTGTTTGCACTGCTGTTCGTCCAATTCACCCAACCAGTCTTCTGTTGCTGTTTGCACTGCTGTTCGTCCAATTCACCCAACCAGTCTTCTGTTGCTGTTTGCACTGCTGTTCGTCCAATTCACCCAACCAGTCTTCTGTTGCTGTTGAGGCGCCGCAAAAGAAGTCTGTTGCTGTCGCCCTGGACTTTGGGGGGGACTTCTGAGGCGCCTCCAAAAGCGAAACAGACTTGAGGAGGATCAAGGCACTCAGGTGCATCTCGCATTCCTGTCTGCCATCCTTATTCCCAATCCCGTCCCATTGCCCCAGGAGGAGGGGGGGCAGGAAGACAGGCCAACTGCCGGAGCCACCCTACAGAGCTATGTTCTAATGGATCTATTTCTGCGAATCCTTTTCTCCCGCGGTTACAGGAGGCTCGGCAGGCAGGGGCTTTAAGGGAGGCCAAGACGAAGCTGGAGAAGCAGCTGGAGGAGCTGACGTGGCGGCTGCAGCTGGAGAAGCGCATGCGGGTGAGTGAGTGGGGCTGTATGGGAGTAGGAGGGAATGTGTATGCGCGACATGGGCTGTGGATGGCTCCTGAGGCGTCTCACAAGCAGCTGGAGGAGCTGACGTGGCGGCTGCAGCTCAAGAAGCGCATGCGGGTGAGTGAGGATGGGGATGTGTGGGTGAGTATATCGTGGATGGCCTTTGACGCGTCCCAAAAGGCATCTGGAAAAGCAACTGGAGGAGCTCAATGGCGCTTGCAGCTGGAAAAGTGCATGTGGGTTAGTGGGCTGAGAGTGTGTTGTTGATGGGTTTTCTTGGGTGAGTGATATGAGTGAAAGCTGTTGCATGTCGGTCTGTGTGTGTTTCAGGTGCAGTCACCTTGGTACGACTTTTGAGAATTCTCAGCAGTCACCCATCTTCTCTTTCCCTTCTTCATGCCCACTGCTCCTCCTCATCCTGCTTTCCCCCAAACCAGCTGGACCTAGAGGAGGCAAAGGCCGCCGAGATCCAACGGCTGCAAGCGCAAGTGGAAGATCTACGGTCTGAGCTCGACGACACGCGAACCCGGCTGGAGAGCCAAGTAGACGACACCAGGCGGCAACTAGACGAGTCCCAAGGCAGGCTAGAAGAAGCACAGGGGCGATTGGAAGAGGCGCAAGCGAGGTTGGAGGAGGCACAGGGGAAGGTGGAACAGGCAGAGGCCGAGGTGCGGCAGCTTAGGGAGCAGAGCGAGCGAATGGCGGATGAGAGTGCCAGGCTGGCGCAACAGCTGGCGGAACGGCCGGTGGTGACGGCTGCTGCTGTTGGTGGTGCTGGTGCTGGTGGTGGTGTTGGGAGTGGGGGGCGAGGGAGTCTGGAGTCTGGTGGAGGGGCGTCGGGTGCTGCTGCGTCCGTGTCATCAGCGTCGTCAGCGAGAGCAGCAGGGGAGAGTGCGGGGAGAGCTGCTGGGGAGGGTGATGGCGAGGTGAGCTGGGATGAACATTTATGACTGTCGCTGACGCACGCTTGAGAATCTGTTTAGCTTGCGACTGAACGTGCGCTGTGAGGCGTGAGGACTGAGACTTGATCAATCACCTCTCGTTGCTCCTCCACTACTTTGTTCCCCTACCCTCCCACCCTCTGCGAGACTGCTCCCCCCTAGTTGCAGCAGGAGAATGTGCAACTCGCGTCGCTGCTGGCAAGGAGTTGAGACGAGATCAATCACCTCCTGTTTCTCCTCTCCCATCTTGCCGCGTTTTTCACCCCACAGCTGCAGCAGGAGAATGTGCAGCTCAAGTCGCTGCTGGCGGAGTCAGAGGGGCGTCTGGCTCGTTACGAGGCCGAGGTGGCCGGGCAGGTGAGAGTTTTCTGGCAGAGGTGGTTGGGCAGGTGAGACTTTTCTGGCAGAGGTGGCCGGGCAGGTGAGACTTTTCTGGCAGAGGTGGTTGGGCAGGTGAGACTTTTCTGGCAGAGGTGGTTGGGCAGGTGAGACTTTTCTGGCAGAGGTGGCCGGGCAGGTGAGACTTTTCTGGCAGAGGTGGCCGGGCAAGTGAGACTTTTCTGGCAGAGATGGTTGGGCAGGTGAGACTTTTCTGGCAGAGGTGGTCGGGCAGGTGAGATTTTTCAGGCAGTGGTGGTTGGGCAGGTGAGATTTTTCAGGCAGTGGTGGTTGGGCAGGTGAGATTTTTCAGGCAGAGGTGGTTGGGAAGGTGGGAGTTAGGGCAAAGGTGGCCGGGCAGGCGAGAGGTGGGTGGGAAGGTGAAAGTTAGGGGCAGAGGTGGCTGGGCAGGTAAGTGAGAGGCTGAGAGATAATCTGCTGCAGTTGCCAACGTGTAGCATAGCGTGTCTGTGTTCTCATGTGAGTGTGCACACATGAATATAAACCTGTTTCTGGCGTGCTTGTGTATGTGTGCTTGTTCATGTTTGCTTGTTCATGTTTGCTTGTTCATGAGTGCTTGTTCACGTGTGCTTGTTCATGTTTGCTTGTTAATGTTTGCTTGTTCATGTTTTCTTGTTCATGTTTGCTTGTTCATGTTTGCTTGTTCATGTTTGCTTGTTCATTTTGCTTGTTCATGTTTGCTTGTTCATGTTTGCCTGTTCATGTGTGGTTGTGCACGTCTGCTTCTGCATTTGCATCTGCCCCCGCAGGTACAGGAGAAGACAGCACGGAGCGAGCGGGAATTGGAGCAGACCCAAGCGGATCTAAAGCGAGTACAGGAGCTTTACTCGCGGATGGAGAGAGAAAACCAAGCACTTCGGCAGCAGCAAGCACTCTCAGGCCCAGACAGAGGAGGAGGCGGAGGAGCAGCAGTGGGAGCAGGGAGAAACGGAGAGCAAGGAGCAGCAGGGGCTTTGGCGGTGCAATCCCCGCAGCAAAACGGGCTGGCCCCGAACCTGAGCTTCGGATCGCCGAGCCAGAGCCACGGGTCGCCGAGCCAGAGGCTCGGGTCGCCAGACTCTCCTGTCCCATTGGCGCTCACCCCGGCGAGTGGGAACGGCGGCAGAGGGGGTGTGGCGGGAATGTCGCCGCTGGGGAGTGTGTCTGGTGAAGGGGGTGACAGGCGGTTCTATCGCATGCAGTCTGAACGGTTCTCGGTGAGTGGAAAGGGCAGCAGGGGGGTTGTGGGTGGGATGGCAGAAGAGGGGGAGTGGCGGGATGTCGCCGCTGGGAAGTGGATCAGGGGAAGGTGGAGAGAGCAGGCGGCTCTATCGCACGCAGTCTGAACGGCACCCGGTGAGTTGGAATGCCAGCAGGGCACCCCTGCCCTGGGAGAGCGTGCTTTTGAGGCACCTTGACCCCCTGCGAGTGGGAACTTCGGCAGAGGGGGTATGGCGGGGATGTCGCCGCTGGGAAGTGTGTCTGGGGAAGGAGGAGACAGGCGGTTCTATCGCATGCAGTCCGAGCGGCACTCGGTGAGTGGAAAGCAGGAAAGATGGGTTGTAAAAAGATAGTTCTATCAGGCCGAAAGCATACAGCAACTTATTCTTTGCTCACCCTCCCTCCTTACCTCCTTTCCCACTCTTCCTTGCCCTACTGCCGTGATCACATCAGCTGTCAAGAGAGGACAGGTGGGCTGCGGAGGCCTTACTTAGGCCCACCTGTCCTCTCTTGACAGCTCCTCCTTTCCCCCTCTTTCTTGCCCTGCTGCCCTGATTACAGCAGGAGCAGGAGGCACTACTGAAGGCCCTCAGCCACGAGTCTCGGCTACAGCAACAAGCGCCCCCTCGCCGCCTGCATAGTCTACAAGTGCCTCCTGCACTGGCGTGCATTTGATGCCAAAAAAACATAGCACCTTTCCCCCCTTACTCACCCTTCCCCTCTCTGCTCCTACCACCCTCCATCCCTCCTCTCATCTCCCCCCGCTCCTTTACCCTGGTTCCCCAATCACAGCAAGAGCAGGAAACACTGCTCAAGGCCCTCTCAGCCACGAGCCTAGGCTACAGCAACAAGCGCCCCCTCGCCGCCTGCATAGTCTACAAGTGCCTCCTGCACTGGCGGGCATTTGAGGCAGAGCGAACGAGCATTTTCGACCGCATTAACCGCACTATCAGATCAGCTGTTGAGGAGGATGATAGAGCGCTAGCAGCACTGGGGAGTGGAGGGGTGCTGAGCGGTGGAGGGGGGTTGGGAGGGAAGAGCATGGGGCGGCTGGCGTATTGGTTATCCAACACTTCGTGTCTGCTGGTACTGCTGCAGCGGACGCTCAAGGCCAGTGGGGGGGGGCAGGCTGGGCCGGCAGGGAGGAGGAAAGGCGCGCAAGGAGGAGGGACTAGTGGGAGGATGGCTCAGATGGGGCCTCAAATGGGATATCCGCCGTCCCCCCCTCTGCCGGATGGGTCAAGCTCGCTGAAGCTGGTAGAAGCTAAGTACCCCGCTCTGCTGTTCCGGCAGCAGCTGACTGCGTATGTGGAGAAGGTGTTTGGGCTGATCAGAGACAACCTCAAGCGAGACATCTCGCCGATTCTCGGGCAGTGCATTCAGGTGGGTGTGATAAGCTTATTGGGGGGCACTTGGATGGGGGTGGGTGGGGGGGATGGGGGCGCAGCTGGTTTGCTGCTGTTCCGGCAGCAGCTGACAGCGTATGTGGAGAAGGTGTTTGGGCTGATCAGAGATAACCTGAAGCGAGACATTTCGCCCATCTTGGGGCAGTACATTCAGGTGGGGTTGGAAATAACTGGTGGGCGATTGGGTGGGTCGAGACAAGGTTATTTGAGAGCATTTCGGTTGGAGGGCAGTGGGCATAGGGGATTGGGGCAGTGGGCATAGGGGATTGGGGCAGTGGGCATAGGGGATTGGGGCAGTGGGCATAGGGGATTGGGGCAGTGGGCATAGGGGATTGGGGCAGTGGGCATAGGGGATTGGGGCAGTGGGCATAGGGGATTGGGGCAGTGGGCATAGGGGATTGGGGCAGTGGGCATAGGGGATTGGGGCAGTGGGCATAGGGGATTGGGGCAGTGGGCATAGGGGATTGGGGCAGTGGGCATAGGGGATTGGGGCAGTGGGCATAGGGGATTGGGGCAGTGGGCATAGGGGATTGGGGCAGTGGGCATAGGGGATTGGGGCAGTGGGCATAGGGGATTGGGGCAGTTGGGGCAGTGGGCATAGGGGATTGGGGCAGTGGGCATAGGGGATTGGGGCAGTGGGCATAGGGGATTGGGGCAGTGGGCATAGGGGATTGGGGCAGTGGGCATAGGGGATTGGGGCAGTGGGCATAGGGGATTGGGGCAGTGGGCATAGGGGATTGGGGCAGTGGGCATAGGGGATTGGGGCAGTGGGCATAGGGGATTGGGGCAGTGGGCATAGGGGATTGGGGCAGTGGGCATAGGGGATTGGGGCAGTGGGCATAGGGGATTGGGGCAGTGGGCATAGGGGATTGGGGCAGTGGGCATAGGGGATTGGGGCAGTGGGCATAGGGGATTGGGGCAGTGGGCATAGGGGATTGGGGCAGTGGGCATAGGGGATTGGGGCAGTGGGCATAGGGGATTGGGGCAGTGGGCATAGGGGATTGGGGCAGTGGGCATAGGGGATTGGGGCAGTGGGCATAGGGGATTGGGGCAGTGGGCATAGGGGATTGGGGCAGTGGGCATAGGGGATTGGGGCAGTGGGCATAGGGGATTGGGGCAGTGGGCATAGGGGATTGGGGCAGTGGGCATAGGGGATTGGGGCAGTGGGCATAGGGGATTGGGGCAGTGGGCATAGGGGATTGGGGCAGTGGGCATAGGGGATTGGGGCAGTGGGCATAGGGGATTGGGGCAGTGGGCATAGGGGATTGGGGGCAGTGGGCATAGGGGATTGGGGCAGTGGGCATAGGGGATTGGGGCAGTGGGCATAGGGGATTGGGGCAGTGGGCATAGGGGATTGGGGCAGTGGGCATAGGGGATTGGGGCAGTGGGCATAGGGGATTGGGGCAGTGGGCATAGGGGATTGGGGCAGTGGGCATAGGGGATTGGGGCAGTGGGCATAGGGGATTGGGGCAGTGGGCATAGGGGATTGGGGCAGTGGGCATAGGGGATTGGGGCAGTGGGCATAGGGGATTGCAGTGGGCATAGGGGATTGGGGCTGCCAGTGCTTCCAGGTAAGACGGATGACTCTGAGCAGTTCACTTATACATGCACATTCTGGTGACTTTTGAGTCGACTGAAAAGACTGTTGAGTCGACTCAAAAGGCTGCCAGTGCTTCCAGGTAAGACGGATGACTCTGGGCAGTTCACTTATACATGCACATTCTCTTCCCACTCCTCTTCCTGCCCACCCCCTCCCACCACTCTTGTAGTGAGGTGCATTTTGAGGCGCCTCAAAGTGCACCTCCCCACCCCCTCCCACCACTCACTCTCCCCTTTCCACCACCCTCAACCAGGCCCCTCGTGTCTCCCGCTCCTCATACGGCCGGCAATCCTCGTCTCCTAGCAGCACAGCAGGCAGCGGCCCCGCGTCATCATCCCCACCAAGCCCGTGGCATGCCATCATTGCGTCGCTCTCCTCGCTGCTCGCGACGCTCAAGGGCAACCACGTGGCGCCATTCCTCATCCGCAAGATGTTTGCTCAGGTCTTCTCCTTCATCAACGTTCAGCTGTTCAACAGGTGAGGGGTGGAGGGAGGGAAGCATGTCACTGAAAGAATGGAAGAGATAGGGTGTTGAAACAGCAGGCAGCGGGCCGCCATCCTCCTCCTTCATCAATGTTCAACTCATTAGCAGGTGGGGGGTGGTGTGGTGGGAGGGAGAGAATGGTGCTAAAGCTTTAAATGCACCTCTCGGCTGTTGATTAGAAAGATGTACGTTGATAGACGTACAGCTATTTTTGAGGCGCCTAGAAAATGTACGTTGATGAACGTACAGCTCTTCAACAGGTGAGCGCGGTGGGGGGGTTGGATGAGGGCGTATGGGGGAGATACAAGGGTGTGTTTTGGGACGTCTCTCAAAGCATGTGGTTACTCGTCCGGAAAATATTAGCCCATGTCTTCGCCTTCATCAGCGTCTAGCTGTTCAACAGGTGGGTGAAGGAACAGGCCCAAATCTTTCTAATTTTTCTTCAGCTTCATCCGTCGTGAGTTTAAGGTTCAAATGAGTGGTGCTCATTGAGTTACAGAGATTACGTGAAAGTGGACCTGCAAGAATACAGTCCCACGGATCTGTGTTCATGAAGAAGGGCAGCAGTAGGCAAGGTCGCCTTTAGCAAAGGGACGATAGTCAATCAGTTGAAAAAAGGGCAGATTGACTGATTGACTATCGTCCCTTTGCTAAAGGCGACCTTGCCTACTGCTGCCCTTCTTCATGAACACAGATCCGTGGGACTTTGATTGAGTTACAGAGATTACGTGAAAGTGGACCTGCAAGAATACAGTTTTTTCTCTCTCTCCCCCTTTGGTCCACCCTTTGCATCAGCTTACTACCCCGTTGTGAGTGCAGGCTGCTGGGCAACGGAGAGTATGTGAAGGCGGGGCTGCAGAAGGTGCAGCCTTCCTTCCCCAGTCCTGTGCCTCCAACTCCCACTCCTCCTCCTCTTCTCTGCACCCGCTTTGGTCCCCTTCCCTTCAGCTTACTACCCCATTGTGAGTGCTGGCTGCTGGGCAACAGGGAGTATGTGAAGGCGGGGCTGCAGGAGGTGTGGCGTCCCTTTCCCACTCCTGTGCCTCAACTCTAGCTCCTCCTCCAATTCTCCTCCCCTTTACCCTCCCCTGTCCCCCTAACCCCCTTTTCCACCCAGCTTACTACCCCGTTGTGAGTGCAGGCTGCTGGGCAACAGGGAGTATGTGAAGGCGGGGCTGCAGGAGCCACATGCAAACAGAGTTGTTTTGAGACGTCTCAAAACAACGTTGTGAGTGCAGGCTGCTGGGCAACAGAGAGTATGTGAAGGCGGGGCAGCAAAAGGTGCAGCCTCCAACTCCCACTCTTCCTCCCTTTCTCCTCACCCCCACACCCCGTCCCACCCCGTCCCACCCCGCCCCATCCCTTTCTCTTCAGCTTACTGCTCCGCCGTGAGTGCTGTTCGCTGAGCAACGGGGAGTATGTGAAGGCGGGTTGCAGAAAATACAGCCTCCCTTTACCCACTCCCCCTCTCTCCTCCCCTGCTTGCAATGTCCACTCCCCCCTTCTGTTTCAGCTTATTGCTCCGCCGGGAGTGCTGTTCGCTAAGCAACGGAGAATATGTGAAGGCAGGGTTGCAGGAGGTGCAGCATCTCTTCCCCGCGCCTGTCCCTCCCACTCTCACTGCTCCTTCCCTTCTCCCTTTTTCTCTCCTCATCTCCCCCACTTCCTGTTCCCATGAAACCCTCTTTCCCACCCAGCTTACTGCTCCGCCATGAGTGCTGTTCATTGAGCAACGGAGAGTACGTGAAGGCCGGTTGCAGGAACTGCAGCCTCTCTTACTCATTCTCCCCCTCTTCCAATGTCCTTTCCCCCTTTCTGCCTCAGCTTGCTGCTCCGCCGTGAGTGCTGCTCGTTGAGCAACGGGGAGTATGTGAAGGCGGGGTTGCAGGAGGTGCAGCAGTGGATGCGGGAGGCAGGGGAGGAGAGCATGGGGCGCGCGTGGGAGGAGCTGAGGAGCATCACTCAGGCTGTGGGGTTTCTGGTGAGTGATTGAGTGCGAGAATGATAAGTGACTGAGTGATGGAGTGGACGAGTGACTGAGTTACTGAGTGAGTGGGTGATGGCACGGCTATAGGAGAAGCTAGAAGAGCGTGTAGAAAAACATGTGAAGGTACCTGTTGTGGAAGCAAGAATGTCCCAGTGGGTACCTTTGGTCTTAGTGGTCGCGGGTTCAACTCTCATCGGCAGCACCTTCTCTTCTCATTATGCCGAACATGACACTCCCACACTCCACCACACTCACCCACAGTGAAGTGTGGTCACAGTTGGCATTGCCATCTGTCCACCCATCCCATACTCACCTTGTTGGCTCCTATGGTGTGCCACATGCTGCCATGTAGGCTGTTGTTCCAGCCTGGCCCACATGTGCAACATGTGGCCTCAATTGCTAGCTTGGCAAGGTTGGCTAGCCCTGCCCTCAGCTTTGAGGTGCTGCAGCTAGCCTCAAGAGTTCAGCCACATAAATGTGGCTTCCCACTTCTCTAGAACTCATCCTTGGAAAGGACATTGCTCCAGCCTTTCAGGCTTGTACCATCTTCCTACTAAGGATATATTGTTCTTCTCTCATTGTGCCTCAAGTTCACCGATCCTCATTCTACATGCTATCAGAGCAAGGCTTCTAGCTTAGTGAACGTTGCACACTTCATGGCTCAAGTTGAAACGCCTCTCGGTCGGCACACCCTTCCCATCTTGGAACCAGATGGTTCCAACTTCATTCCATGGAAGAAAAAGATCTGCTACATCTTCAATGTCCTCGGGCTGATCTCCCTCCTTGGAGATCCCAAGGTTGCTTCGCGTCCTTCAATCTCCTCTTCCACAACCAGCGGTGGAGAGACTACCGAAGGCAACAGCGGTGCAGCCCCTAAGACAGCCCATTCGATTGCTTCGCTGCCGGATGAAGAAAAAGAGGAGCATGCATACTATCTTCTCATGTCAGCCGTCCATCCTCAACTATCGCTCACTCTTGCTCAAGCCAACACGACAAAGGATATGTGGGGATGCATCATGGCGCGGTTCGACTGCATGGGCAACCATGCACAAGTGGCTCTCCTCCGGGATCTCATCACTACACGGATGGACCCAACAACAAGTCTTCGCTCCTACTTTGATCGAGTTGGAAACCTTACACACCAACTCAAATCTGCCGGCTTTGAGCTACCATCATGGGTGGTGGTAATCTCCATCATCCTCAACCTTCCGGACTCGTTCAAGACCCTTACTGAAACCATTTGCACCGTGAAAGACATAAAGTCTATGACGGTTGAATACCTACAGTCACGCCTACTCGATGCCGATTGGGAGCGGTCACAATCTGGTACAAGCCGTAACATGGAGGGTGCATACAACCTCAATTCCCAGCCCTCCCACCCTCTTCGCTCCGGTTCACGCCAGTCGCCCACCTGCCGTTACTGCAAGAAAACGGGTCACACCATCGATGAATGCTTCAAATTGAAGAAGAAGAAAGAGCTTGAAGAAAGCTCTAAACGGGAGAAATCCGTCTTCCAACCCTCGGTGCATGTCTCCACCAGCTCCTCTGCTGAAGCTACTCCGACCCCCACACCACCTCCTGCCCCATCAACCCCTCAGTCCGTACCTGATTCCCGGTACGTGGACATTGCTGTCAGCACCAGCCACCACCCCATCTTCTCCACATGGACTCCTCTCGTCGCTGCTGTCTTCATTCTCACCATCCTCCTTCTCCTCCTCCTCTTCCCTTATGGGGCTCCCTACGCATCGGCATTCACGGCCTCCTCATTCAATATGGAGCAGACTTCGTCGTGGCTGGTGGACAGCGGCGCATCCTCCCATATCTGCTCGGATCGTTCGCTGTTTTCGTCTCTCAAGAAGCCCAACGAAGAGATCCTTGTTCGTTTTGGTGGAGGAGAGACTTACAAGGTCGTGGGAGTCGGCACGGTGGTGGCTACTCTTCGGTCACCAACATCGGAAACCACCATTCAGCTTGACAACGTTCTATTTCTCCCTTCATCAGTTCACAACCTGCTCTCTGTTCGTGCGCTTGGTGCTGCCGGCGTTGCCGTCTCGTTCCCCGCTGCTGGGCGCGTTGTTCTCACATCTGATGACGTTCCTATTGGCGAGGGCTACACCCGCAACAATCTGTTTTATCTTCAACTGCATCATGGGAGCAGTGCTGCTCCTTCTATCAAGCCAACTGCATGTCCAGCCTCCACCACCACCTCCTCGTACCTCTGGCATCGTCGTTTCGGGCATCTCAACATGCAGGCCTTGTCAACACTTCATCGGCAGCAGCTGGTCACCGGTCTTCACCTCTCCTCCACCTCGATTCCCCCCTGCATCTCGTGCTATCGTGGGAAACAAACACGTCAGCCATTTGGCGTGTCCCATTCTCGCACCACAGCCCCACTCCAACTCATTCACTCAGATATTGCTGGACCGCTTTCATATGGAACTACCATTGGCGGCGCTCGCTACCTTCTCACCTTCATCGACGACTACTCCCGCCACATTACAGTGTATCTCCTACGCCACCGGTCGGAGGCACTTTCATGCTTCAAGGCTTACGTCACTCGGGTGCACAACATGCATTCCCCACACACCATCAAAACCTTTCGCTCTGACGGTGCCTTGGAGTTCACTTCCAAAGCCTTCACTTCATTCCTTACAGCTCATGGCATCGCCCGCCACCTCTCCACGCCATACACACCTGAGCAAAATGGAGTAGCTGAGCGGGCCAACCGGACTTTACTTGAGATGGTCCGTTCCATGCTCCATGATGCACACATGGACAAAGGCTGGTGGGGTGAAGCCGCTCTTACTGCTGCCTATCTTCGTAATCATGCCATTAGTCGGGGTGGTTCAACTTCTAAGACTCCCATGGAACTATGGACCGGTGCACGTCCGGATGTATCACACCTCTGCATCTTCGGTTCACCCGTCTCGGTCCTCATTCCTTCCCAACGGCGTTCTAAGCTCGACGACCGAAGCACGGCCGGCATCATGGTTGGATATGGTCATCTCGACGGCACCAAAGCTTACCGCATCTATATCCCATCTCAGCACCGTGTCATCCTTTCTCGTGATGTCATCTTCATGGAGCCCTCTGCACCGCCTTCCGACGACTCTCGCGACCCTCCATCGTCATCTCCACCCACATCCTCCTCACTACCTCCTCCTACACACCCTTCTTCCTTGGACCCAATCTCCCCTCCCTCTCCTTCCCCCACCATACCTTCCTCCGCCAACCCCCACCCACAATCCCCAAACCTGCCCGCACCAGCCACATCTTCTCCTCCTCCATTGTTTTCCAACCTTCCTCTGCCCTCGACGCCGCAAGACTTTCACCTTCCATCCTTCTCTCCTCCCTCTTCGCCTCCCCCTCCCCATTGCACGACTCGCTCCTCCCCGCCATCCCCTTCAGCTCTTCCCGATCCTTCCCTTTTCTCCTTCCTCAAGGTCTTACCATCCCCTTCCGAACCCATTGACTTCACTCTTCCTCCTCTTTCCAACACCTCTGCCAATGCTGCCCTTCACCATCATTACGAACCTCAAACCATTCATGAGGCTCGTACCGGCCCTGATGCTGCCGAATGGATCAAGGCTGCTGATGCGGAACTCGCTGCCCTGCACGCTAATGACACCTACAGCATTGTTCCTCGACCACCCAAGTGCAAGCCGATTCCATGCAAATGGATTTTCAAGGTCAAGGAGAACGCTGATGGTTCTATTGAACGCCGCAAAGCCCGCCTTGTTGTCAAAGGCTTCAAGCAACGTGATGGTGTTGATTTTCATGACACCTTTGCTCCTACCGTCCGCTTCGCCACCCTCCGCTTGTTTCTCACCATAGCTGCCGCTTTCAACCTGGACGTCCATCAGCTGGACATCTCCAACGCCTTCCTCAACGGCACCCTTGATGAGATTCTCTACATGATGCAGCCTCCCGGTTATGACCTTCCGGCGGTCCATGGTGTTGAGCAAGTTTGTCTCTTGCACAAACCGCTGTACGGGTTGAAGCAAGCTCCGCGATGCTGGTACCGCAAGCTTCGTGAGGAGCTTGCTGCCTTTCACCTCTTTGCTGCTCGTGCGGACCCCGGCCTCTTCATTGCTCCTCCTCACTCACCTTATCGGCCTACAGCTGCATCCTTCTTCATGCTTCTCGTCTATGTTGACGACCTCATCATTCTCTCCTCCTCCTCCTGTCTTCTTGCCTCATTCAAGCATGCCCTTTCATCTCGCTTCAAACTTCGTGACCTCGGACCTCTCTCCTACTACCTTGGCTTTCACATCACTCGTGATCGAACTTCCCGCACTCTCCACCTTCATCAATCCAAATTCATCACCTCCATTCTAGACACCTACTCCTTCTCTCCATTGAACCCCGCTGCCACTCCCATGGACACAAAGTTTCAGCCACCCGTGACTTCCTCCCCGCACTCCTCCTCCTTCCCTTACACCTCGTTTGTCGGCTCCATCATGTATGCCATGGTGGGGACCCGTCCCGACCTCGCATATAGCGCTGGAGTTCTTGCTCGTCACCTTCACGATTGGTCTACTCCTCACGTCTCGGCTGCCAAACGCATTGCTCGCTACTTGAAAGGGACTACCTCCCTTGGGCTTCTCCTTGGTGGCATTCCCGACACCCTCGAACTTCATGGCTGGTGTGACGCCTCTTGGGGACCGGAGGGGGAGCTGCGTCGCTCCGTTACGTGCTACTTGTTCTTCCTCGGTCCGTCACTCATCTCTTGGCAGTCCAAACGCCAAGCCGTCGTTGCTACCTCTTCATGTGAAGCTGAATATTACTCTCTGGGCGCCGCGGTGCACGAGGCATTATGGCTTCGTTCGCTCCTTACTGCAGTTGGACTTCCCCCTACCGGCCCCACCCGTATCTCGTGTGACAACAACAGTGCCATCATTCTCGCCAAGGACGATGGCGTCTTTCATCCCAAGGCCAAGCACATCGACATCAAGCACCATTTCATTCGCGATCATGTTGCCGACCACTCCATCACCCTTCACTATGTTCCTACTCAAGACAACCTCGCTGACATTGGGACCAAGCCTTTGCCCCGTGACCCTTTTCTTCGCATCCGTGGTCTTCTCGGTCTCACCCATGTTTCCTCTTGAGGCACCCTACCCCGGGGACATCCTTGAGGGGGGGTGTTGTGGAAGCAAGAATGTCCCAGTGGGTACCTTTGGTCTTAGTGGTCGCGGGTTCAACTCTCATCGGCAGCACCTTCTCTTCTCATTATGCCGAACATGACACTCCCACACTCCACCACACTCACCCACAGTGAAGTGTGGTCACAGTTGGCATTGCCATCTGTCCACCCATCCCATACTCACCTTGTTGGCTCCTATGGTGTGCCACATGCTGCCATGTAGGCTGTTGTTCCAGCTTGGCCCACATGTGCAACATGTGGCCTCAATTGCTAGCTTGGCAAGGTTGGCTAGCCCTGCCCTCAGCTTTGAGGTGCTGCAGCTAGCCTCAAGAGTTCAGCCACATAAATGTGGCTTCCCACTTCTCTAGAACTCATCCTTGGAAAGGACATTGCTCCAGCCTTTCAGGCTTGTACCATCTTCCTACTAAGGATATATTGTTCTTCTCTCATTGTGCCTCAAGTTCACCGATCCTCATTCTACAGTACCTCAGAAATAAATTCTTTGCCTTGCCTCTCTCCCACTGCCTCCCCTCCCCTCCCCCCCTCACCCCCCCAGGTGCTGCACCAGAAGCCAAAGTAGAGTCTCGAGGAGATTATGAGCGCACAGTTTTCCGAGACTCTTCTTCTGAGTCACACCAACCTTACCCATAAGGTTGGTGCGAAGAGTAATTGAGTCGACCAGATGTGCCCATGGCCCTCAACTTCTGAGTCGACCAGATGTGCCCATGGCCCTCAACTTCTGAGTCGACCAGATGTGCCCATGGCCCTCAACTTCTGAGTCGACCAGATGTGCCCATGGCCCTCAACTTCTGAGTCGACCAGATGTGCCCATGGCCCTCAACTTCTGAGTCGACCAGATGTGCCCATGGCCCTCAACTTCTGAGTCGACCAGATGTGCCCATGGCCCTCAACTTCTGAGTCGACCAGATGTGCCCATGGCCCTCAACTTCTGAGTCGACCAGATGTGCCCATGGCCCTCAACTTCTGAGTCGACTCAGAATCTAATCTCCTCTTACTTCCCTCTCCCACCCACTGCGCTCCTGCAACCCACCCCCATTCCCCCCCCACAGGTGCTGCATCAGAAGCCAAAGAAGACTCTAGAGGAGATTGTGAGGACTCTCTGTCCGTCGCTCGAGTCAACTCCGAAGTCAAGAATACACTGCCATTCCCGTCCTACACCCCCGTCCCCTCTCCCCCCCGCTCCCCTCAACCCGCCACCCCAGGTGCTGCACCAGAAGCCCAAGAAGAGCCTGGAGGAGATTGTCACCCCTCTCTGCCTGTCGCTGTCGACGCATCACAACGACATACTGGGATGGAAAGTATGGCAGCATGCTCTCATCTCTGCTTCCTACCCTGTTCCCCCCACCCCAGGTGAAGCACCAGAAGCCGAAGAAGAGCCTGGAGGACATGTTTACAACTCTGTGCCCGTCGTTGTCGACGCAGCAGCTGTATCGCATCGCCACCATGTACTGGGATGGCAAGTATGGCAACATGCTCTCATCTCTGCCTCGTACCCCGGTTTCCCCCCCAGGTGCTGCACCAGAAGCCCAAGAAAAGTTTGGAGGAGATTGTCACCACTCTCTGCCCGTCACTGTCAACGCAGCAGCTGTATCGCATCGCCACCATGTACTGGGATGGCAAGTAACGGCACCCAGAGTTTTGAGCGTCCCATAACACAGCACACACACCGTCAGCGTAGCTTCTGCTGCTCCTCAAACATGCTTTCCTTGCTGCCTCTCCCCCCATTCCCCGCCCCCACAGGTGCTGCACCAGAAGCCTAAAAAGAGTCTGGAAGAGATCGTGACAACTCTCTGTCCGTCGCTGTCAACGCAGCAGCTGTATCGCATCGCAACCATGTACTGGGATGGCAAGTACGGCACACACACCGTCAGCACGCAGGTCATTCAGATGATGCGCGCACGAATGAGCGAGGAGGCAAGGAGCCCGGCTGCTACTGGCTCGTTTCTGCTGGATGACGACTCGAGGTGAGAAGAGGGGAAGTGATGGGGGTCGTGGTGTTAGGAGGGGTGGTTGTCTTTCACATGATATGCCTGCACATTACCAAGGAGGTGAGGAGGCGAAGTCCCCTGCTACCACCAGTTATTTCTCTTGGATGATGACTCAAGGTAAGAAGAGGGGGGATGATTCGAGGTGAGGAGGAGGGCTGGTGGGTGGGGTGAGGGATGTGATTGCTGATGCGTAAAGAAGGAGCCAAGTACGCCACACTGTCAGCACGCAGGTCATTCGAAAGTGCAAGCCTGCATGAGAGAGAAGGGAGTTTTTGAGAAGGCGAGAATTCTCAAAAACTCCGAGCCTGCACGAGAGAGAAGGGAGAGCAGGAGGCGCGGTGAGAATTTTCAAAAACTCTGAGCTTGCACGAGAGCGGAGGCGAGAACCAGTGCTGCCACCGGCTCATTTCTGTTTTTTTCGTACGCGCGCGTGCACAGTGCACACAAACACACACAGTCCCTGACCTCTTGTAGTGAGTCGATTTTTGAGTCGACTAAAAAATCGATCCAAACACACACACAGTCCCTGACCTCTTGTAGCCCATGCCCTCCCCTCTCCTCTTTCTTCCTCCTCTCACCAACCCTCCCACCCTTCACCCTCCCCGTTTTCGTATCACCACACAGTATCCCATTCAGCCCTGGCGACTTCGCTTGCAGCATGGAGGCCATTGACATTGAGGCGCCTCAAAAGTGCAAGACATGAGACGACTTTTGAGGCGCCTCAACTTCGCTTGCAGCATGGAGGCCATTGACATTGCAGCATGGAGGCCATTGACATTCCAGCATGGAGGCCATTGACATTGCAGCATGGAGGCCTTTGACATTGCAGTGCTGCTGCCAGTCGGTTCCGCCTCCTCTTGTGGCTCATACCCTCCCCTCTTTCCACCCCCTCCCCAGTATCCCATTCGGCCCGGATGACTATGCTCACAGCATGGAGGCCATTGACATTCCAGCATGGAGGCCATTGACATTCCAGCATGGAGGCCATAGGCATTGCATGCTGCCTATTCCTCTTCCGCATTCCCTTCTCTCCGCTCCCACCCCCTCCCCCCTTCGTGCCATCACCCAGTATTCCGTTTGGCCCTGACGACTTTGCGCGCAGCATGTAAGGTATTGACATTGCAGTGCTCCCGGCGCCGCCTCCTCTTGTGGATCACACCCTCCCTTCTTTCATCCCCCCCTACCCCACACCCATGCAGTATCCCCTTTGGTCCGGACGACTTTGCTCGCAGCATGGAGGGCATTGACATTGCAGTATTGCCGGTGTCCCTTCCCCTCAGAAATAAGTTTGAAGTTGACTAATAATGTCTCCCCCACCCTCTCCCGTGTCACGTGCAGTATCCCCTTCGGTCTGGACGATTTTGCGCGCAGCATGGAGGGCATTGACATTGCAGTGCTGCCGGTGCCGCCTCCCCTCAGGGATAACCCCGCCTTCCACTTCCTCTCCTCGCGCGCTTAACTCCAGCCTTCTACCCCCTCACATCACAACCTCAACACCTGCCTTCTAACACCCCATCTCACAGCTTGAGCCCTCTCCCAACTTCCCTCAGAGATAATCCCTCATTTCACTTCCTCTCCTCATGCGCTCACATCACACCCTCTAACACCTGCCTGCTAACACCCCATCTCACAGCTTGAATCGTTTTCCAACTTCCCTCAGAGATAACTCCAGCCTTCTACTCCCCCACATCACACTCTCAACACCTGCCTCCTAACACCCCGTCTCACGTCTCCCCTATCCGCACCTGGATGTGAGCCTTTCACCCCTATCCGCCTCCCTTCAGCAATAACCCCGCCTTCAGTTCCCTCACATCACTCCCTTAGCACCAACCTTCCAACACTCCAATTCCCATCACCGATGCCACCTTTTACCCCTTTGAGGCACCTCAAAAGTTTCTGAAAAGCACCTTATAACAGTCCCTCGCATCACAGCCTGACACCGACCGCCCAGCGCTCTATTCCCCGACTCCAACCTGGATGTGGCCTTTTCACCCTTTCTGCCTCCTCGATTTGAAGTCACAGACGAATTCAGCTGGGTGCCATCCTTACCGAAGTAACGTCCCCGCTTGAGTGAATTACCCTCTTTTGCAGCGGCGTTCCGGCACTCTCCTGACCCTACTGACTTACTGACTGCCTTCTTGATACCATAGACTATAGGGGGAACCGAGTGAACTGCGTGTAGTGCCGTATCGCGTATCACTATCATACGCGGTGTTTTGTGTATGTTTGGATGTATAGTATTTTCTCCTCCTATGTCTTTCAATCACTTGGGGGTGTATCCTGAATATACAATTGTTTAAGTCCATGGATGTTACCATGGGATCTCTACTCCCTGGATGTGTGCAAGGCACGTGCTGATGCAGACATTCATCTATGCAAAAAAGAGTGTCAAAGGCAAGATAAACTCGTGGTTAAACTTATCCCTACAGATTTTCGTATAAAGCACAACCTTATCTATATATTTTTTAGAACGGGCATTTCCCTGAGGCGTATTTTTTGTTGCATGCACGCATCGGGGTGGATCGCCTTCGGTGGAAAACTGGGTTGCAGTGCTGACGTGACTGGTTCGCACCAATCTTCCCAACCAACTGGATCAACAGTTTTGGAGCAGAAGTACTGTATGGATTGAAGAGAAGCGGCTCGTTGACATTTTGGACTTTGCATTGTTGTCGCAGCTGGAGCAGCACCCAAGTTCACGCATCCAATTGGGTTCTTCTGTCCATGGTACTGTAGGGAAAAAATGTCCATGTGCATTATACAGAATCTCTTGTGGTAACACGGTTTATGTCTCTTCCCCTTTGGGCCTTGTTTGGCAGGCATCATGGCCATTATGGCCACATAGGCATTTCTAACGGGCTCCCAAAATATGCCGCATGGGCATTTCGAGAAACAGCATCGAAATCGGATAGTAGCTGCAGTGCACATTCGGAAAAACGGGGTGGAGTGTTTTGTTGGCATTATTTGGGTGTAGATTGATGGCATCTATCGAAATTTAGGGTTTTGCAGAAGATGGTAAGCAGTTGCCATGATGGTTCGCGTGATCATGTGATTGGCTGGCATATTTGACCAGTCACTTTTGATTGCCCCGAATCACTGATACCCCGCATAGTGCGTGGCCTCGAGGCCGCATGGTGCGGGGGATCAGAAAATGGGCACTTTGCCAGAGAAAATCGTTTGGGTCAGGGCCTATTTTTGGATTTTAGGTACTCTGATTTCCAGAGTAGTTTTTTTCCCAACTCTGAAATCTAGGGTTGTTCCTGCGCCTTACTCTGATTTGTCAGAGTAACCCTATACTTTAAAACAAAAACCCAGACACGTCAGAGTAATATTTTTCTCTACTCTGATGTTAGTTAAGTTTGGTGTACCATGACCTCAATAGGTTTCTGTTACGCCTTTTGTACTTGCATTTCCGCGTCGCCCACGTTTCCCCCCTCACTGCGATGTTTCAGAGTGAGGTGTGGCGGCACCGATAATATGACTAAGGGCGTGGTGAAACGTCAATAGATGTCGCTGGATGTCGGTGAATGTCATCCCTCGGATCGACAGTTCCAACCGTCAGGATTTACCGACATCCCCAAACGGATGTCCACGGATGTCGACGTTTCACTTCGGACACCCCCAAAGAGCGTGTCTGAAGTGAAATGTCGACGGATGTACAGTTTCGTGGGGGAATGCTGGCGAATCTCAACCCTCGGATTGAGCGTTCCGACCGTCAGGATTCCTCGACGTCCCTCAAAGTTTCGTCGGGAAACGTCGACGTTCACTTCAGACATAAAGAGAGAGGGGACTGGCTGGCATCGTGTGTCAGAATCAGCGAACAGGAATGATGAACTAGCAGTGAAAATGAGTACAAGTAGGAAACCCTAGAATTGTGTACCCCCTATAGGCTAACCCACTGTAGCCTACACAAGCATAACATATATAATGTTTGACACACCCCCATAGGCAAAGTGGGGGAGAACAAGGGGTCACAAGACCAGTCAAGCAAAGCAAAGCAAGCTCAGGGTGGATCACAAAGTCACCACACAGTCCGAGCACAAGAGCAGGGCCAGAGGCCAGTTCACATGCAGGAGTACAGACATATATATAAAACTAGACAAGCAAGAGCAGGTATATATATATGTCACAGTACAAGTGAAGTCAAGAGGAGAGCAAGTGAGGCAAGACAGGCACAACACCCAGCTGGGTGCAAAAGCGCTGATGGTCACAAGGCGCGAGTGCCTTGGTGAACACATCAGCAGTGTTGGCCTCAGAGGCCACGTACGCAAGTCGCAACTGACCACGCTGCTGCAGCTCACGAGCAAGGAAGTAGCGGAGAGCAATGTGCTTCGTTCTGTGCTCCAAGCGCTGCTCTCGACACAAGGCCAGCATGGCCTTGTTGTCTACGTACAGCACTGGAGGAGAACGAGGCGGCTCTCCAAGGTCAGTCAGCAGGTAGGTGAGCCAGCGAAGCTCCTGTGCAGCCATGGCCCCGGCGTAGATCTCAGCCTCACAACTGGAGCCGAGAACCGAAGACGAGCGAGTAGACCGCCACGAGACAGAGCCGGAACCAAGGCTGAAGGTGTAACCCTGTGACGACCGCTGCGTAGCCTGGTCGTCAGCCCAAGAAGCGTCCGCGTGGCCGGTAAGGACCACTGGACTCCGCCCTCCAAGCACAAGCCCCATGCCCGACGTACTGCACAGGTAGCGCAATACCCTCTTCGCTGCAGCCATGTGCTCTGGTCTGTGTCTCCCAGGAGCAACATAGCGTGCAAGAATGCTCAGAGGATATGCAAGGTCAGGTCGTGTGCAGGTCATCAGGTACATGAGGCAGCCAACAAGCTCTGCATACGGACCACTCGACTCTACGGACTCATCCGAAGGCAGAGCTGAGAGTGAGTGGCGAGTAGGCAGAGGAGTGGCCTGAGGCGAGGAGTACGTGAAGCCGAAGCGCTGAAGGACCTGCTGCACCATGTGTGACTGAGTCAAGGTAATGGTGCGGCGTGCTCTGTCCCGAGTGATCTGCAAGCCAAGGTAGCTGCGCAGTTCACCCAGGTCTGTGCACGTGTGTCTCTTCAGCAGATCGGACTTCACGTAGGCGAGTCCAGCAGTGTCCGCTGTGGCAAAGACCGAGTCGTCGACGTACACGAGGATGTAGAACGGCGGCAGTGAAGTGTCGGTGCGCAGAAACAGCGACGGGTCAGCAGTAGAAGGAGCAAACCCAAGAGCCGCAAGCGTAGTCCTCAGTGTGTCGTGCCACTCACGCGGTGCCTGGCGGAGACCGTAGACTGGCCGTCGGAGGCTCCACTGGGTGCCAGGAGGGAAAGTCCCAGTGAAGCCAGGTGGACGGCGCAGCCAGATCTCCTCGTGCAGGCTACCCTGCAGGAACGCAGTGCTGAAGTCGAGAGAGTGAAGCTCGTAGTCGCGCTGAGCGGCTATGTGCAGCAGCACCCGAAGAGTGGTCATCTTCGGGGTGGGAGAGAAGGTCTGAAAGTAGTCAACTCCCTGCCGCTGACTGAAGCCACGAGCAACGTACCGCGCCTTGAAGACAGGTGGAGAGCCCGGCGGCCGCTTCACCCGGAAGATCCACATGCCACTGACGATGTTCGCCCCAGGAGGGGGAACTGCGTCAACGTAGGTGCCTGTGGACTTCCAGGAAGCCATCTCTGCATCCATAGCTGCCTGCCACTGAGAGGAGTAGGGACCCTCTACGGCCTCCGCGTAAGAACGCGGAGTCGGGATGTCTAGTGCATCCGGGTCTCCCTCAGGGGCAAGCAGTACAGACGCGAGATGAGGTGAAGCAGCCGCTAGACACTGTAACTCCTCCTGTCTGTCCTCTAGGACGTCCGTGCCAAGAGCACACTCACCCCCGACGGACGGAGGACAGACAGACGCAGACTCAGCAACAAGACCAGCAGCGTAGTCGAGACGACAGCGAGCAGCAAAGTCAACGAGCTCAGCGACTAGAGCAGACGCAGCAGTGGACTCAAAAGAGGGGTCAGTGACTACAGTAGCAAGCAGACGCGTGACAGTAGGACTGGCAGCGCGAAGAGAGTCCGACTCAGGGTCGGCAAGCGCAGGAAGAGAGGACTCAGGAGGAGAAGGCAAAGGGGCACGCAGAGGAGCAGTGGACGGACGCAGAGACATCCGGTGCGTGCCAGGGACAGGAGGAGGACGCTGACGCGAACCGCGACCACTAGCGCGAGCTGCACGAACAGGCGACGCGGGACGAGACGCAGGCTCACGACGCTCAGCAAGACCTCCAGTAGGACCAGTGTAAGGAGAGGGAGCAGGCAGAGGAGAGGAAGGCTCCAACAGTGACTGCGACTGGACAGGCTGTGGACACTCTACCGAAGGAGAAAGACCAAGAACCTGCTGTAGGAGCGGAACGAAGTACGGCCGAGGCCGCGCGGCAGCTCCAGACTCAGCAGGGACAGCACCGGCACCCTCAGCGACAGCACCAGCGCCACCCACACCTCCAGCGGCAGGACCAACAGCAGTAGGCTCAGCACGAACGCCCTCAGCACCTCCAGCTCCAGGAGGACCCGCAGGTCCAGCAGCTCCGGGACCGGCAGCACCCGCACCCTCGACGGTCGAAGAAGCTCCAGCTCCAGCTCCAGCAGCACCTCCAGACTCAGCAGCACGCCTCCAGCGGCGAGCGTACCACTCGCGCAGCTCCTGTGGAGAGAGGGGCTCCCGGCGAGACGCAGCAGCAGGAGAAACCCCAGGCTCAGCAGCTCCTGACGCAGGAGGGACAGCACCAGCACCCTCAGCTATAGCACCAGCGCCACCCACACCTCCAGCGGCAGGACCAACAGCAGTAGGCTCAGCACCAACGCCCTCAGCAGCTCCAGCTCCAGGAGGACCCGCAGGTCCAGTAGCTCCGGGACCGGCAGCACCCGCACCCTCGACGGTCGAAGAAGCTCCAGCTCCAGCTCCAGCAGCACCTCCAGACTCAGCAGCACGCCTCCAGCGGCGAGCGAACCACTCGCGCAGCTCCTGTGGAGAGAGGGGCTCCCGGCGAGACGCAGCAGCAGGAGAAACCCCAGGCTCAGCAGCTCCAGACGCAGCACCCCCAGGCTCAGCAGCTCCCGACCCAGCACCCCCAGACCCATCACCTCCAGGCACAGTACCCCCCGGCTCAGCACCCCCAGGCTCCGCACCCTCCGCAGTAGCACCCGCAGGCCCAGTACCCCCAGTAGTAGCACCCCCAGGCTCAGCACCCCCGCGCACAGCACCCCCAGAGTCAGCACCCCCAGGCTCAGCACCCGCAGCAGCACCAGAGTCACCTGTAACCTCGACCGGGTCAACGGCGTCTACCTGGGACACACCTGAGGGGGCAGGAACCTGAGGGGGGAGGGGGTCTACCGGGGGGGGAACCGGTACAAGGAAGTCCGGGGGAGGGGGGAGGGAAGGAGTGCGGTAGGGGAAGAGACGGTAGAAGGGGACTGACTCGTCGAACGTGACGTCCTGGGAGGACAGAACACGACGAGAGGAGGGGTGGTAAAACTGCCACCCTGGGGCGTCAGTGGGGAAGCCAAGGAAGACACAGGGAGCAGCACGAGGGGACAGCTTGTCCGCAGACAAGTCGCGAGGGACTCACGCAGCGTACCACTCACGCAGTCCCAACCAGCGTACCACTCACGCAGCTGCTGGGGCGTGAGGGACTCACGCCGGCGTCGCTGGGGCTGCATTTGGCTCCGCAAGTAGAAGCAGGAGCAGGACTAGCAGCAGGGAGGCAGGCAGCCAGGCAAGCCAAAAGGCAGGCAGGCAGGCAAGCAGGCGACGCGCAGCGTGCTAGCAGGGCAAGAGCTCACCAGTGGTGGGAAGAGTAGGCTCGGCGACTCAGCGGCTCGGCAGCTCGGCGGCTCGGCGGCTCGGGCGACTCAGGCGGCTCGGCGGCAAGGCGGCTCAGCAGCAACTGCAGCTCAGCAGCTCGGTGACTCGGCGGCTCGGCGGCAGGGCGGCTCGGCAGCAACTGCAGCTCAGCAGCTCAGCGACCCGGCTGCTCGGCGGCAGGGCGGCTTAGCTGTGGGGCGGCTCGGCTGCTGCAGGTGAGCGGCTCGGCTGCTGCAGTGGGAGAGGAAGGAGGAGGAGAAGCAGGGGAGGCCACACACCTGCCACCCCTCTGCAGGCCTCTCCCGTCGCCTGTCGAGGCGACCTGAGGGGGCCGCAAGCGGCCCCCTCAGGTCGCCTCGACAGGCGACGGGAAAAGGGGGGGGTGGGTGGTGGGGGCCGGTAGGTGCAGCGGCGGGGCCAGCAGGTGCAGTTGCGGGGCCGGTAGAAGGGGACGGCAGGAGCCGTCAGGAGGGGACGGCGGGGCCGTCAGGAAGGGACGGCGGGGCCGTCACGAAGGGACGGCGGGGCCGTCAGGAGGTGACCGGGCCGCGACGGGGGCAGGCGGCGGGGCCGCGTAAGGGCCTGGGCGGGGCCGCGACAGAGCCGTCGGCGGGGCCGCGTGAAAGCCGGAGCGGGGCCGCGTAGAAGCCGGGGCGGGGCCGCGCGAGAGCAGGCGGCGGGGCCGCGTAAGGGCCTGGGCGGGGCCGCGACAAAGCCGTCGGCGGGGCCGCGTGAAAGCCGGGGCGGGGCCGCGTAGAAGCCGGGGCGGGGCCGCGCGAGAGCAGGCGGCGGGGCCGCGAAGGAGCCGGGGCGGGGCCGCGTGAGAGCAGGCGGCGGGGCCGCGACAGAGAGGGCGGCGGGGCCGCGTCAGTGAAGGCGGCGGGGCCGCAGGGGAAATGGCGACCCGAGGGGTCGCTAAAAGAAAGATCGCGCCTCGGGGGGCGCTTCGGTGGGCCCAAAAAAAAAAAAACGGTCCGTAGAAGGACCCGCTCTATACCATGTCAGAATCAGCGAACAGGAATGATGAACTAGCAGTGAAAATGAGTACAAGTAGGAAACCCTAGAATTGTGTACCCCCTATAGGCTAACCCACTGTAGCCTACACAAGCATAACATATATAATGTTTGACATCGTGCGCTGGTTGGGAAAGTTGTCAAACTACGGTAGCCAATTAGTGCTCATATTGTTGCCAACACACGATAGAAATCAGGAGAATGATCTCGATGATTCGGGGAAAACCCGCTAAACGCAGGGGGAGGTGGGGAGGGGAGGGGGGCGGGGGAGGGGGGGCCAGCAGGTATTCCCTATACAGAGTAAATTCGGTCCCCGAAAAAAAAACCCAGAGGCCTCAGAGTAAACTACAGCATAACTCTGGCAAATCAGAGAAATCGGAAGTCCCAAAAAAATTACCCAGCGGGTACAGAGTTACTTTCAAAAATGACTCTGATTTTCAGAGAAACAGAGTAATTTACTCTGAAAACGTGAGGCCTGGTTTGGGTGTAGATTCCGGCGGTTGAAAACGCCTGCAAAAAAAGGGGTGTTTGGTTGGCATTCCATTATTGTCAGGTTCGGCGTAGTCCACTTATATCGAGCCTTGATAGCCTCTAACGCGGTTATCGAAAAAGGTTCCGAGGTGGTCGGTTCACTGTAGCCCATCCCCCTCTCCCGTTTTTTATGCCTGCCAAACCGGGCCTTGGTTTTCGTGTTCTTTCCTTGCCAGAAAACCTACAGTACTCACACCAATTCTGTGGCCCGTTCTGCCAACCTAAATTTGTACGACTGCTGCTCAACCATCAGTTCTTTGTAGGTACAAACACACAGTCTGTCAGCTGTTTCCGCAAACTGTTTTTGTCCCGGGCGGCACATTTCGTTTCCAAAAGTGGTGCTTCGGGAGACATTGACTGTAGTCCACACACTATCGACACGCTGACCTTCCCAAGGCCACGGAAAAAAAGATACCTGTTTCGACGGAGCCGAGTCGAGCCCAACCGGAGCGCACATTTGATCGGTGGGAGGGGAGGTGACGAGGGTGTACAGTATATGGGGGCGCTACCAAATCCGAGCACCTGACACGGCAGGGCGACCAGTGAGGCGTACGCATGGACTGCCAGGGTGAACTGGGTCTCATTTTCGGAATCGACGGGGTAGATCTATCATAATATTGTAAGCAGGTAGTTCCCTAGGTTCTGCGTTTTAATGAGCAAAGTTGCGAGGGGAGAGGCTAGCGGAACTTAGCGGGGCTCGAGAATATTTATAGCCAGTCACCACCAAGAAGACTACCCCTTTTCTTTGCACGGAAGATCATTTTTTTTTTTTTTAACGCTAAGAACCTGCGATTGCAGGGCGAATCAAAATATACGTCAGTCTGAAACATAGTGGTGCATCTGTTTCAGGGTTTTGAGAAACACGCACTCTACAAAACAGAGCAGAGAGAGTAAACAGCCTCACTCCACAAGGTCTCATCCCTCCAGTTGGAAGCTCTGTGCCTCCTCAAAGCATCAATGCTTTGCTTTGCATACACCAGTCAGTCCCTTAAATATTGGAATGGTGTGTTTTTTCTCTAAGCGTTCCACACTACTTGCATGCAGAGTCGCTGTGATTAACCGCTCTAAGTGACTGCGTTCTGGAGCGGGGCGCCACCAGGGGTGAAATCGCTCAACGTTAAACGTCATCGCGATCGCGTCGGATAAAAGTGCGACGCCAGAAAAGACGACGACGGAGATCCGACGAGAAAAGACGCGCGGTGGTTCCCTTTGATAAGCTGGGACAGGCACGAGGGCTATTTACTGCGCGACGAAATGTGTGACAACGAGACAGCATGGATTGAGGAGGAGGATCGAGAGGCATGGCGGTGATTGTTGGAGCAGGCGATGGAGGGCGTGGATGGTGAGATGGACAATGAGAAATTCCTCGAGAAGATGATGCGTCGACTGGACAGGTGACACTCGTAAATTCCTGACTTTGCTTTTTTTGTTGCTTCTTGTTTGTTTTTTGTAGTTTGTTTGTTTGTTTGTTTTTTTATGAAGAGTCTTCTTAAGGAAAAACACAACTTCAAGAAGCCGCTGCCTCTTCGTTCCTAACGAGGCTACATTTATGGGGCTAAACCGTGGTGCCTCTGGCGCTGCATGAAATATAAATACAGTATTTTGGGAACACTTTTGCCTTGGTCTCAAAAATCATTGACCGGTTGTCCCGAAATTATGCTGAAAAAATCCATAGGGAGACATTGGGGACAGTACATTTTGCGGTGACCGCACAGGTGCGAGTGTTGTTCCCCAACACCATGTTCCTCCCCCACTCATTCCCCCAGAATGGAGGTGCGCTTTGAAGGGGTGAGCGCGTCCGCCAAGATGCAAACGGGGACGAGGGGTCTCCCAATCACCCCTTACATTCCTCCCATCATCTTACCCACCCCTCTCCATCTCACAGCGTTGGCGTCTCATTCCCCGGAGTGGAGGTGCGCTTTGAGGGGGTGAGCGCGTCCGCCAAGGTGCAAGTGGGGGCGAGGGGCCTGCCGACGCTCTTCAACCAGCTCGCCAACTCCACCGCCGCGCTGCTGAGGGAGCTGCGCCTACTCAAGGACCAGCGCCGCCTCTTCTTCGCTCTCGAAGGCTGCTCTGGCATTCTGAAACCTGGAAGGTAGGATCTTGAGTCGACTCAAACATTCACCACAGTGCTGTAGGAGCTGCGCCTACTCAAGGACCATCGCTGCCTCTTCTTCGCTCTTGACGGTTGCTCTGGCATCTTCAAGCCTGGCAGGTAATTGTCAAACATTATATATGTTGTGCTTGTTTAGGCTATAAGGGGTACAAAATTCTAGGGTTAGGTACTTGTACTGATTTCACTGTTAGTTCAATCATTCCTGTTCGTTCATTTCAACATGGTATAGAGCAGGTCCTTCACTAGGACCGTTTTTTTAGGGCCCACCACTACATACCTACCTACCTACCTAACTGCGCCCTAGGGCGCCTCGTTTTTTCACGGCCCCCTAAGGCCCCGCGACCCGCGACCCGCCCCTTAGCGACTCGCGCGCCGCCCCTTAAGGCCCCGTCGGCCCACGCGCTCGCCCCTTACGGCCCCGCGCTCGCCCCTTAGCGACCCTGTCGGCCCCGCGATCGCCTCTAACGGCCCCGTCGGCCCCGCGCTCACCTCACTAGAGGCCCCCGTCGGCCCCGCGCTCGCCCTTAGCGGCCCCTTACGGCCCCGCACTCGCCCCTAGAGGCCCCGAACGGCCCCGTGCTCGCCCTTAGCGGCCCCTTACGGCCCTGCGCTCGCCCCTAGAGGCCCCGAACGGCCCCGCGCTCGCCCTTAGCGGCCCCTTACGGCCCCGCGCTCGCCCCTAGAGGCCCCGTTCGGTCCCGTGCTCGCCTCTAGAGGCCCCGAACGCCCCCCCCCCCCCCAGAACGAGCCACCCGACCCGAGCAGCCCGAACCGAGCCGCCCTGCCCGAACCGAGCCGCCCAGCCCAAACCGAGCCGCGCCGCCCGAACCTAGCCGCGCCGCCCTTCCCGAGCCGCGCCGCCCTACCTGAACCGAGCCGCGCCGCCCGTACTGGACCGAGCCGCCCTACCTGAGTCGCACTGCCTACTGTTTTTTGGGTGCCCCTACTGCTATTACTCCTACTACTGCTATGGCTAGCCCTCCTGTGCTAGCTTTCGATGCTGAGGGCCGCCCAGTGAAGTTCGAAACCTGGCTAGATGACCTACACCTCTTCCTACAGCTCACTGCCAAGGAGGACATCTCACTGTACGATCACGCCCTAGGCCATGCTCCTGCTCTTGCTGCTACTGCTGACAGCACTGCCCGCTCACAGTGGCAGACTTGTGACGCCCACGCTCGCTTCGCTATTCGCAACTCCCTGCCGATAGATGAGCGCGAGCACTTTGGGCAGCACAAGACTGCACAGGCACTGTACACTGCTGTCGTTGCCCGCTACTCCTCACCGGCCTCTGCCGCACTAGGCCGTCTCTCTCTTCCCTACCTGTTCCCCGACTTAGCCTCTTTCCACACAGTCGCTGACCTCATTACGCACCTCCCCACTAGTGAGGCTCGCTTCCGCGCCGCCATGCCTGATGAGTTCCTTGCCAAGAACCCACCCCCACTCTGACTCACTCTCTACCACCTAGTCACCCGCCTCCTTGACACTCTGCGCTCAGTCAGGGACCACTTCCTAGCTCGCTGCCCCACTGAGCTCACCATTGCCCTCCTCGAGAAGGAACTCGTTGCAGCTGAGGCTAGCATAGTCGCTGTAGGTGCCTCTCGTGGCGACCTCCGTACCCCGTTCTTTGAGGGGTGCTCTCCTTCCCCCCTTCTTCCCTCTGTCGCCTCTGCTGCTGCTGTCGACCTCCTTGGTGTTGAGAAGGTCGGGACTGCGTCTGCTTCGAGCGGGCGCCGCAGCGGCAAGGGCAAAGGGGGCAAGGGCGGTGGCGGTGACAGCGAGGGAGGCAGTGGTGGGGGCGGTGGTGGCGGTGGGGGTGGTGGCGCGACTGGAGGGGCTAGTGGCAGCGGTGGGGGTGGTGGCGGCAGCGGCGGGGGAGGTGGCAAAGGCGGAGGCGGTGGTGGGGGTGGCGGTGGACGCGGCGGCGGCAGGGGTTGGGGTGGTCGAGGAGGTGGCGGCGGCGGTGGTGGTCGTGGAGGCGCTGGCGGTGGCCAGGGCCAGCAGCACACTCCGTCGCCCCAGGAGGTCCGTGAGTGGTACTCTCAGCACGGGGGGGGGGGGGGGGGGGGTGGCTTTAGCTGCACGTACGTCATTCGCACTGGTGACCGCACTGGTCAGCCGTGTGGGGGACCGCACGCCACACAGTGCTGCTTCGCTCGTCTCAACGACGCTTGGCGTGTTCAGTTCCCTCAGGCCACTGAGCTGCCCCGCTGGGTTGATCTCGTGAAGAAGGGGATTGATATCTATGCTCTAGACTTTGATGCTATTCTCACTGCTATGTATGTGATGTCTACTAGTGGAGAGGGTGCTGAGTACCTGTGTGTGCCGCCCGACCCAGGCATTAGGACTAGTGCGTCTGCCGCTCCAGGTACTCGCGTGTCCGCTACCCCAGGTGCTGGTGAGGCAGCTGCTCTAGGTGCTTGTGCGTCTGCCCCCCTTGGTACTGAGTTGACTGCAGCACTGCACACCTTCACACTGGACTCAGGTGCTTCTCGCTGCTTCTTTCGTGACCGCACTGCCCTTGAGCCGCTTGCTCGGCCAGTTGCTGTCTCCCTCGCTGACCCCTCTGGGGGTCCGGTCATTGCGACCTCCTCCACTGTCCTTCCCTGTCCTGCGGTCCCGTCGGGCACACTGTCAGGTCTCCACCTCCCCTCGTTCTCTACAAACTTGGTGGCAGGTAGTGCACTCCAGAACGGGGGTGTTCACCAGTTCACCCTTGCCTACGAGCGCGTGAGACACTGCACGTGTGCTCGTACGGGCCGCCACTTGGCTACCTTCACTCGGCAGCCGGGGTCGGACCTGTACACACTGACCACTGAGTCCCCTCAGGTTGCTGCGTCTGTGTCTGCGTCCGCGTCAGGTCAGCTGTCTGCCCCCTGCTCGTGTCGCTCTCTGGCGCACGAGACTGTCCTCTGGCACTACCGACTTGGCCACCCGTCTGTGCAGCGCCTTCGTGCCATGCACTCCCGCTACCTTGTTTCCGGTCTTCCCAGAGTCCTCCCTTCCCTCCCACCCTCGCCTGCTCCTCCCTGTCTTCCCTGCATCGAGGGGCGGCAGCGCGCCGCTCCTCACTCCTCCTCGTTTCCCTCGACGACTGCTCCCTTGCAGACGCTCCACATGGACGTGTGGGGCCCAGCCCGCGTCCGTGGTCAGGGTCAGGAGAGGTACTTCGTGATAGTTGTTGACGACTACTCGCGCTACACCACAGTCTTCCCCTTGCGCACCAAGGGTGAGGTCCCTGATGTCTTGATCCCTTGGATCCGCAGAGCCCGTCTCCAGCTCAGCGAGCGTTTCCACTCGGACTTTCCTGTCCTGCACTTGCACTCTGACAGAGGTGGTGAGTTCTCCTCCGACCTCTTGGCAGCCTACTGTGCTGAGCACGGCATTGAGCAGTCGTTCACGCTTCCGGCCTCTCCACAGCAGAATGGGATTGCAGAGCGCCGCATTGGCCTGGTCATGGAGGTCGCCCGT